TCTGCTCCGAACTGGGCTAATGAAGACGGGCGTGACAGAACACCCATGGCAGCTTACTGAAATTAGCGTATAAGTATATGAAGTTTTCCATTTTATAATTTTGAAGCAAAACAAATCTTTGTTTGAACTCTCGATTCTTATGAAACCAATTGATATCATTTATAAAGATAAAGATTAGATATACATGTATATGCAGATATCAGTATTTATATAACTATCTTATATAGGTATTTTACTTAACACACGAACTATTATCAAATTTAAGCGAAGTACTGCGTAATTATAACTATCTTATATAGGTATTTTACATAACTCACGAATTACTATCATATTATTTAAGCGAAAGTACTGCGCAATTATAATTTGCGACTTCATTTCTATTCGAGAAAACAATAATTCCATTTGTGACAACAGTGCAACAAACAATGACTTCGAAATATTGCCAACTGACATCCGATGAGAGTAAAATAACTCAGTCCTCGCAAAGAATGTTACTTGGTCGTGTGTGTGGTACGATGAATGCAAACAACAGAACTGTCCGACGTTAAAGTAACATAGCGATGAATTAAATTATTATGTGTTTAACCCCCTCTCATCAATATATTAATATTACAAAGGCCCAAGTTTCTAATTAACGGCATAAATAGCAGTTTATTTGCAATGTAAAAGAAGGGAGTTAGGCATTTAATAGAAATTCTTTACTTGGTCGTTGTGTGGTACGACGAATACAAGCAACAGGAGAACTGACCGACGTTAAAGAAACATAACGATATATTAATAGAAATTCTAAACAAGTGTGAAGTATGTTAGATAAGTATTTTCCAAGCATGCGCATTTCCTATTTTAACAGAGTTCATGGGTGATGTGAAAATGTTACCTACGAGTGTGTTACCTACGAGTTCATGGGTGATGTGAAAATGTTACCTACGAGTGTGTAAACTGTCTATAAATCAATCCATACATAAATAATGTGTATTTGTTTCTAAAAAATGCATGTTGTAACCAACGTCACTGAAAAAAATATATTTTATAAGACAAGTCATCATGTCATATTGATTGGACAACATGTAATGTTATTTCCGTGTATTAAACATGCATTATGCAAGAGCTAAATCTGATTATTGCAAGTCTTAACTTAGGCTTCAGATGTTATAGAAATTATAAATTAGATCTTTATTTAAACAACAAGACCAAAATCAACTCTGTAGACCCACGGATGGCTCGGCTACAGCTCGGATTTAAATAGGATTTCACTAATTGATTAAATCAGATAAGGGGTAACCTGATGAAAATACGTCAATTAGATCGAGGCTAAATGATAGAGTGTACTTAGCGAGGCCGCTGTAAAGCGTTTCCGTATGCCCCATTGAAAACTTTACTTGATAATCGAGATATGTAGGTGGAGTTAACGCCCGTCAATCAAACGTTCGGCGAAGGTGAATAGACATTTCGCTACCATTTCTAGGCAAATATTACAACGATGATAACTATGTTCAGAATAAAGTAATTTGACTGAATTTTTCAATATATTCTTCTTTCATCATCTACTTTTGAACTGTTATAGCAAGAATGGCCAACTCTCTATAAATATCTCCCATAATGTATCTTTAATGGTTAGGATCAGGGCCCTGTTTCTCAAAATTTTAGTAGATACTTCAATTTTGATTGGCTAAGCACTAAAATCAATCTAATATTATCCAACGAAATTACTAAAATTTGGATTTTATCTTAGTTAAAATTTCGCGAAACAGGCCCCAGGATTATAATGGGGACAATTCTTTAAAATGCGATGTTTACATGTACGCAAGATGAGAATATCCCACAATTCCCGTAAGAAAAACCTTATCATGTTTCCTTATGGGTAAAAAACCTACCCTGGAAGAAAAACCCGTTACAGGTTTAAAGAAAAACTTTCAGAAGAATAACCCCAAATTTCCCTGTATATATCCAAAGCCGTCCCCGACTTTCAAACCGCAAGTTATTCCGGGCATAGAATATACCCTAAAGATCAAAAAAGAGATTTACCGTTACAGATTTATAAATAGGCCTAAACATAATAAACGTGATTATGTGGTATGTGTATGTTTTGACTTCATGTGACCCACGTTTCAGGGTTGAATCTTTATGTTCCGCGTGTTTTATGGGGCATTAGTTGCTGTCTATTGTCTGTCTCCTCGCTATTGATGTGAACAAAGAATTTCGCCCGTCGATAAATACTTAAACGCCATGAACGAATAGGTCTTAAAATTACATTGGGTGGTTGTCTTAAACTTTAGCTATTGAACGCTTTAACGGAGCCACAGTGAATAAGTGGGGATATTGTTAGCTCATTAAACAAGAGGTTCTGGGTTCAAGTCCGGTGTTGATATGAAACTTTGAAATGGTGTTCAGATGCCATCATACAGGAGATATGCTAGTAATGGTCTACTAGGGATAGCAACATTAGGACGTTAAACCCTATTTCATTTCATTAAAATGGAACACCAGATCCACCCAGCGAAGTGTGTGTGTGTGTGTGTGTGTGTGTGTTGGGGGGGGGGGGTGCAGCCGGGGCAAGTGCACACAACAATTAATCTAATGAAAAATATGGCTTCGTTTTCCCATTGATGAGGCAAAGATGGTTATATGCACTATTTAGCCCTCGTGCCCGCTGCCACTATCGATAGGACTGGGAAAAAGACTCTCGTATCGAATTACAGGGCAGAAGGGGAGGGGGTGAACCTGGATCCGCCAAGGGCAGTCCCTGACACCGCCCCCTCCCCCAACAAAAATGATTCTTATGAATAAAATGGCTTCATTTTCCATTGGTGACGCAAGATATCGTTGGTTGAATGTTGCATGCTTTTTTTTTAAGCGTAGATGGATGCAAAATTTAGCTCTGACGCCCTCTACCACTTGCGTATTGAATTACAGGTTAATGTATGTATAGTGTTATAGTGGTTTTTTTTAAGCGTGGTGGGATGCAAAATTTAGCCCTGGCGCCCACTACAACTTGCGTATTGAATTACAGAGAGAGAGAGATAGAGAAATAGGGTTTAACGTCCACTCGACACTAACTAGGTCATTTCGGGACTAACACGTGGTTCAATTTTCTTTTTCAATAATTCGTTTGCGCGTAGGGGTCTTTAGCAGTAGGAGGAAACCTGAGGACCCGGAGAAAACTCACGAGGTTGGACAGGCCACCTTACTCCTTGTCACGTACAACCGGGGAATCGAAACCCCACCAGTTGACTCAATGACAGACCATATGAATTACAGGTTTGTATATGTATAGTGTTGTAGGTTATATAAAGTGGACTCGTATTTCCTTTGGTGGCACAAGATATGGTTATTGTCAAGGGTTAGTTATTATGGAAGGGTATCGCTGCCAATATTAAATGCTCTGCTACAATGTCTTTTCCATTGTTACAATACCGGTAATGCTAAAGTCAAAATACCTTTAAGGCAAGAGTTTAATGTAAAACGTCAAATGTTAAGTGTCAAATGACAAATGTTTTGTGGGAAAATGCTTTTTTGGACGTGTCTACATTTTACATTTTACATTTGTGCTCTGCCACATCTCATTGCCTAAGAGGTATTTTGACTGTATCATTATCTGTACATTGTACTTTTTACATATTATCAATGGAAACGACATTTTCGCAGAGCATTTATTATTGGCAGCGTTACCCTTCCATTAGGGATGTCTGATGAGTTGTTTAACCCTTGCGACCTTTGCAATCTGAAGATCCGCTAGTGCCATTGACCTCGACCTCGCTGAGTACGAGCTGTCATCAACTGCTTGCGTCTCGAAATTCATCTTTAAATATGTATCTATTATAGTTTTGTAGTTTATAAAAATTAATGATAACTTCAAATCATGATTCGAATTTGAACAGTGTGTGTACTGTATGACCATCTAGTGCATCTCTATATACTGCCCGATCGAACTATGGTTGCAAGTGCAACGCTGTGGCTTCTTTCGAGGCATTTCCCCCCATTGGAAAAGACCTGATACTCGCATGTTTTACGTGGTTTCAATTCCCCGATTGTACGTGACAAAGAGAAGGGTCGCCTGTCCAACCTCGTGGGTTTTCTCCTGGTCCCCCGGTTTCCTCCCACTGCTAAAGACCCCTACGCGCAAGCGAATTATGGAAATCAAATTGAACCATGTGTTAGTCTCGAAATGACCTAGTCTGTGTCGAGTGGACGTTAACCCCTCCCTCTCTCTCTCTCTCGCTCTCTCTTGCATGCTTTACAAACATTGTATGACAGTGTCATCATAGGATAATACATGAACGTATGATAATACATGAACATATAATAATACATGAACATAAATACATGAACATATGACAATGACTAATAAAATACTATATTTACTCAATTTAATTTGTCTTTTATTGTGCATGAATAACATACCTTTTGATTTGTCTGGGTTCAGATCTTATTTCCAATCAACATCGAACTGCTTAAGCGCATTTAGTTGATTTTGCAATCCTGATTCAGAAGTGGATAAAAGAATAAGATCGTCTGCAAATAATAGGTGGGAAATTTTACACTTATCAAGAGTTGGGGCATAATGTTTGGGATTTTCAAGGTAGTTTTGTATGTCATTAATATATAGGTTATTTAGTCTCGGACTCATTACGCATCCTTGTCCTACCCCCATGTTCTAATTTATAGCCAGCGACTGCCCTCCAGGGGGTTTTACACAGTGAAGTGTTTTCTGGTACATAGAAATTATCAGGTAAAATCATTGCCAGTTATATTATGTTTTAATAATTTGAAAAACTTGCACCTTTCGCAGATGGTGTCGAAAGCTTTTGAAAATCAATAAAACAAGAAAGTGGTTTTATTTTTTCGCCTATTTATGTTTCTGTATGTGTGTTCTTAATATCAATATATTATTTTTTGCCTTTGGTGACATGCCCTGTTTCAAGCGCATTGTGTTTCACGGTCCGTGATTAACAAAACTATCTAGATTGTAGGTGAAATACAAACCGCGCGTTTCTCGCTGTCACATAAGTAAATTATGAATAATACTGAATGAAAGAATGAACCTGTTGAAATCGCATATAATAACTGGACTATATAGTATACAATTTGTTATAGGACATAGTAAGGAGCCCGTAAAGCCTTGAATTGGACAGTGAACAGTGGCATGAAATAGGATAACACAACGTTCAGGTTCGACAGTGTATAGGCTACCAAAAAAAACTTAAGATTTGTGAACGTAATTCAAGGGTATACTTACGCCTCCTAGCACACTAAAAGAGTACTACTACAAAGGAATTCGATTAAAGGTATGTTTACTTTGTTTTCTACAAAACACAGAAAGCTTATTACCTTTATTTTACTTTCGTGAGCCACGGGGCCTCAGTGAGTAAGACGGGTGTTGGCTTGGGAAGTTCCTCGATACTTTCCAATGTGGTTTCCTTTTGTCATTGGTGAAATACAGAGGGTTTGGCAAGATGCCGTATACACTTTGGTGTGCACGTAACAGAACCACAGGGTGGAATTCGATAAAGAGAAGGAGAAAATAAGCCTGTTCTAACAAACCCCATTTTATCGACTTTTTGTTATTTGCCTGTTTCTATATTTATGCAGCAACGCTATGCTGAGTTTATATGACGAAGAGTTCCGAATTGATTATTAAACACACTAGTATCCAGTAACCGATTACAGCGAAGGCGCCGTATCCGACCGGCAAACATTAACTGGAAACGTCCAAAAACATAACGAATCCAGGCCCCGAGTTCTCAGACTTAAGTTAAAAATTCACTCAAATTTTTTGTATTATTTTAACTAAAATATAGCCCTTCATTAAACTTTTGTTGTTTTAATGTATCAAATACATCAATAAGAAACTATGGACAAAGTTTTGTGTTTCTGGATCAAAGAAATTTCTCATAAACAGTGATTGAAAGTTGAGTAAATTCTTAACTTAAGTCTGAGAATGTTTTGTGAACTCGGGGCCAGGGCTCTACGTTCTTTCAATTTAAGACGGTGTGTGTCGAATGGTATAACGTGTACGCGTTAGATCACCGGGTTTGTCATAGTGAAGTGGCTTGGTTTCGATCGAAACACACATTTATTTAATCAGGCTTTTAACTGACTGTATACAATCGTTAACATGTCCATAATCTTGTTGTTTATATATGATTATATTGTCACTTTATAAAGTGCCCCTGAACATGTTATATGAAAGGGCGTACTATAAATATGTTGTAATAATAAAAGTTTTCTCCGGGGCCCCCCTATTTCCTCCCATAGCCGAAGACCCCTACGCGAATCGAAACATTGAACTTGAACCATGTGTTAGTCCTGAAATGACATAGTTTGCATATCTCCCTCTTTCCCTCTGTTACAAATGAACCCCAGGGTCCCGGAAAAGGGTCCTTACTATAATATAAAGCACAAATACAAGAGTTCTGCCATGTGCCACCTTATCAGTCACCAATGCCTTTATGCACATACCAAAACAGGCGAATTCCATGCTTTTTTTTAATTCCCCCGCCCCCTCTTATTGAACAGTCCTGCAACGTATTGGATGAAAATACACGGCACTGAATTCAGTTGCCGGATATTCCTTAGCTTGAATCCAATTTGGGCAACGTATACAACAAGCAAGAGAAGCCAATCTAATCAACGTCGACCTGTCGTTAATGTGCCCCCGAATATATGCATGATCATTATTTATTATAGAGACAATTAATTAATAGAATGTGATAAATCGCATGGACCAAATAGATAGCCCTGTTCAATCCCGCTAGCTAATTTTAGGTTATTGACATTCACTGTAAAAGTAAACATACGTCAGATAAGAGTTATATAAACTAGAAATTGTATATCACATGGACGAATTGTGAAAGACACGTGTTTGTATTAACGCGAGCTGTCAAATCGACAAATGCTGTGAACAGAGCAACTTGTACTTAACGACAGCTCCCACAACATACTGTAAATAGTACAGATTGGATTTAAATGTGAGTACTGCCTTGCTTTATAACAGTTAACAAATAATGGTTAGGGACGCTACTAAAATTTTCCATAGGTTTGAGTTGATATTTTGATTAAATTCGTATATATAGCTCTCAATACAGTGTAGACAGTTGATTTGTTTAGACAGTTGATTTGGATTTTTACTATATTATTTAGTAGTTCGTTATAAAAGGGTTTGTTCAATATAATGGGCCCATCAGTATTATTATCATACTAAGCTATGGCATTCGTGTATACACACCTATATTTAGTATGCTATGGTATGTGTGGCTTTACATTATACGTAACATTAGTAGCGGTTTGTGGCTGCATTGTTTGAATTTTACTATAAAGTGCACGAGGATTATACTGAATACATTCTATATAAGTCTACGGTGTACGTTACACACCAGTAGTTACCTGATAACATCTTTAAATATATAATATTATAAGCGACTAGATAATGGCTGGGGGTCAAAATAAAATGTGTATGCGTCATACATCAGTACTTCTTGATAATAACTTTACCCCGTTCGTCGTATATAATAAATATATAATAGTATCATTGAATAGAATCTGGAGAGGGGGAGGGGGGGCGTTCGTTTAATTAGCAATATATAATAGTATCACAAGGACTAGATACTGGAGGGTGGGGGTCCTTTAAAATTGATTCAAAATAAAATGTTCAATTAGTTTGTTCGGTCTGGTGTGTTCTCTATATTAGTAAGAAATAAACGTGGGACCTTAAAGGGACAATGACACTCTTGCTGGCTTGAAAGCTCCAGAAAATAAATAATATCTCTATCTAAGTCATAGATGTTTAAGTGTCCTACCTGTTGTGTAAATTATCCATTACATCCTATTTTACTTGTCCAGAGGGTTCGAAAATATTTTTAAATCGAAGTTTCATTTGAAAAGGTTTACGTTAGACGTTTCAAACCATTGTGTTGAATTTTTCAAAATTTTTAAATAAAGTGTGTTGAGATGAAATTTGTATCATCAATTAATTGAAATATTCTAAAATAGTACAATTTGTTGACTAGAATAAAGATTGGGACATATTATTTAGTTACAACAAGAGTGGTATTGAGCCTTTAAGATCAGATCCATATAAATTCATTTCATTTAAATTAGTCATACCACAGATTTCTATTGTGTTAAGAATCGGTCGAAATCGGCCTGTTAATAAATTAAATTTTATACGTCTACATGGAAATTTGGTCGTTTAATGTCGTCACATCCATCCGTCGTCAACAATTTCTTGTGAACATTCCACAGACTACACATATTGTCTGATCTTACATTTAAGACGGATGCTCCCATTGAATTTCAACAATTTCTGATACTTGCTTCTAGAGTTATTGGGCCTGTTGCTCTTTATGGAACCTTGTGAACGCTCCAACGATTAAATTATCATCCGATCCAACGATTTAGCTGATATGGGCGTATGTTTCGCTGCCTATAGCTACTATCGTTGACTTAAACCGTCGAATGGTACACAGTTAAATCTCAATATTAGCTTTGTCCTAACACGTGCGAAGTTAAGGAAGAGCGATTTTTAACAATCCAACATACAGAAATTAAACCAAACCGAACATATATGATTGACCCAAATCAAATACAGAGTGCGCTTAATTAAAAGTTGTCTATTATTGTTATTTCTTCGGTATTGTACATATACCACCAAAATTATTAAATTTGTTTACAATAAGCAGTTTTGAATTATATTTAACAGATACATGTCCTGTCCTAGTATACATTAAACATTTTACGTAGATGGTTACACCCAAGGCTATTATATTTATTGCCTATTATTTTTATAGTTATAAAATCACTCAAGCTTATGGCCGCTAATGTAGGGTAGACGATATACAAGTTCATATAAAGGAGAGTATAAGTGCGATGACATTGCTAAACGTAATCTTTAGTTATGGGCACCAGAAGCTCGCATTATTTGCCGTTGGTAAAACGCCACCATCTTTCTACTTCTGGAGCGAACCAAAGGTACCAGTTTGCTATCTGTTCCGCACAGGCCATATCATTCTTGCTAAATTTCATTCCGTCTAATTAAAATATAATATCAGCCTTAATTGTACGCTATAAGTACGCGGGGAGGGGGAGGGGCGTGGGTTGGGTGGCCGAATGATTAGCATTTACACGTTGTATCATAAGGTCTGTCATTGAGTCAACTGGCGTGATTTCGAATCCCCGGTTGTACGTGAGTAGGGTCGCCTGTCCAACCTCGTGGGTTTTCTCCGGGTCCTCCGGTTTCCCCCCACTGCTAAGACCCCTACGCGCAAGCGAATTATTGAAATAAAATTAAACCATATGTTAGTCCCGACGTTACCCCCCCCCCCTCTCTCTCTCTTTAGAGACACGATATTAAAAACTAAAGAGGCATATTTTTAAATTCAACAAATTACATTACATTGGTCCAAAACTATGGAAATAGATCAATCCTAAATAACACTTTTCGGTCCATTCTACACATAAAGAACTATCTACTCTACTTCGAAAATAGATCACTGTCCTAAATGGCCGCCATTTCCAACAATCAGTATACTGTTTTTTAATGCTGCCCTACTCCGGTTCTTATTTGTTATACACAAACATACTATAGTTAAACCTTTTCAATTTTATTAAATGTAAGCAGAATATATACTTCTCAAAATTCCCGAAATATACTTCGCGTTTTAGACTAAAATCATCAATTTAGGACTTAAAGTCGGTCAACTAGCTTAGTTTTGAAGTGGAGCTAATTGTAGACAGCCAGCGTAAGTTTAGTATAATGTTCCCAGTCCTCATGTTGGTTAAATTGAAATAAGAAATGTGATTTGGACTTTAAAGCACATCTGTAGTAATTTAATATTTTCCTGGTTGAACGTTTTAGCCCCAATCTGATTAAAACACAGATCCTATTTCGTTTCGTATTTTATAGTTCATAATTTAGTTTTCCTTGTTTTTACTTCACTAGGATCTGGAAGAGTTGTTATGTAACACGCTGTTACAGTATTTTATTTTTCTTCAAACATATCAAGTACACAACTTCTTATAGTTAAAGATTCCGTAATTAGCTTGTGTAGAGGGAGCCATGGTCCTAGCTAGGCTTGGCTCCTTCGGGTGCCGACTCCCAACTAACTTACATGACCACTGTCCGGTCTTAAATGGGAGATTATGCACCTGTCTATATTACATCATAGCAGACTAAAGGTTCAGTACAGGTTGCTTTACAAGACAAAGGACATTACATAAACGGGCCAGCTATAAGTTATGGAATGGCTAATGAGTTCCGTCTGGACAACCATGGGTGTCAATAACCGACATAAGAATATTTTAATCAATTCCACGTTCATGTGTTAAGGTGACACGATAACGTATCCATAACATCTGCAAATTGTGTAACACCGCCTTCTGGTTGATGTGAAACCACTGAAACGATCTGTTACGGCGAGTTCTTGACATATGCTTTGCACGGAACTGTGGGTATTCCACTGGAAACATCAACGCTGATTGGTTAATCAAATGTCTGACGTCATAGGTACAAAAGCCGCTCGTATGACCCCTGACGCGACCTTCCACTACAACTGGTCAGATCTTCACGTAGTAGAGGCCATCGAAAGTATAAAATAACGAAACGAAATATAGATTTGTATTTTAATCAGATTGGTGTCAGTCCATTAGGAAAGACTATCCTACTACTTGCGGATGTCGAACGTAAAATTGGGTATTGTTACCATCTCTTTGAATGAAGCGACCCTTCCTCACTATTTCGTTTCGTCTTAGTCGTTCAAATTTTCTAAAATATCTAAGATCTATCCAGCAGCTACTGTTACAAGGGCTGCATTATGCACAAGACTGTAATGAGTATATAAATAGATTCAGAAAACACGTGCTTGTGGGGGAGAGGGCTGTATTTCTCTAGAAGATTACACTACACACACACACACACAAACAGAACGCGACAGACTTGATAACACTTGTCAGTACTACCACATATAAAATACTGAATGCGAACGAAAAACCAATATAATAACATTGAATTGCGTGATTTTTCCCTTCTGACGTGTTAAGATGATATTACTTTATTTGATCAATTTCCTTCAATGCTTCTTTTGTGAGACCAATCGTATCCCATTACCAATTTTTAATGAAATAGTGCTTATTTTTGTGTCGACTTTGGCCATTTGGTTTGTAAACATTATTGAATTATTACGATGGATTTCGTCAATATTTTCTTGTGGTTACAAAGTTTTAGATTTATAACCCCATGGTATTAGGCATTGAACTTTTTCCACACGATCGTTATCCTTAAATTCAAAGTAATTTATACGTTGTATCTTTATCAATGGTTCGTCTTCATCAACCCAGTCGGAGCAGAACAGTAGGACGTCAAATCCCATTTCATTTCAATTATCAATGTTATTTGTTGTCATTGATGTTCGTTATTGACTCGTAGTGGTGGCGCCTGTCGGGTTCAGGTTACACCGCTATCGAATAGTCGTCAGCATTGAAAATTTCATTTTGCATTAATGCTCTGTGATTTTTTTCTTGGGTTGGTAGTCGTATATGGTAAGATTTTACCAGATGCAATATTGGACTACTTGATAAGCATGCACGGAAGCAGGTGTTTAGAGGTGTCAGCCATTATTACATATGTGACAGAACTGGTTAAACTTTTTTAAACATAGAGATCATGTATCAAACACTTGAAGAAACGGGAAGTGACAACAAAAATGACAAACAAGAGTTATCCTTCGAAGAAACGGGAAGTGACAACAAAAATGTCAAACACGAGTTATCCTTATAGAAGGATCACTCTTGTTTGTCATTTTTGTTGTCACTTCCCGTTTCTTCAAGTGTTTGTTACACATCTACCGTAGCAATGATATCTGTGCTGAAATTATATTAGGAATGTGTTTAACCAGTTCTGTCACATATGTAATAATGGCTGACACCAATATTGTCCTTTAATTGTCGAACTTTCTAGCATTAGATCAAACATATACGTGACAAGAATTAAATATATACATGTAATACAAAATGTGACACAAATGGGCATCTTTACATTATTGGGACGCAAAACAATTATATGTATCTGCTGAATCAATTAGTACTATAACATAAGAATACTTTAATATTTTTTTTTTCAGAACGCAAGATGTCGTCATCTCATATGCCAGGGAGAATTATCCTTATTCTTACAACATTTGTATTCTATTTGGTAACCATTGTTATAAATGCGCTGTCAGCAACAGGGGGTGTGGGATTAGGTAAGAATTATTAGATATTATGTTCTATAATCTGGGACGCCAGTGGTGTAGGACGGAGGGTCTGGCTGGCTAGGACAGTGTCTAATCATTCAGATGGAGAGATACCCCGAGGCCCCGTGAACATACTAAAGTGCGCGTAACAGTAGGCCGTAGCCCAGATGTCTGGGCAAACATCCCCATTCTACAACCATGTATGGCGTATGTCCGTCTTCATAAGCCCAGTCTATAATCTGGTACTTCTACTTTAAACATACATTATGCAAGAGCTAAATCTGCCTATTGCAGGTCTTTCTTTAGGTCTGAAATGTTATCTAAATTATTAATAAGACATTATTTAACTTATCCAGACAATAATCAACTCTCGATGTCAACGCTAGTCTGCAATAATTACTGGATTAGGATCACATTTGCTGTTCAAATTTCATTCATGATTTAATCATGAAATGGATAATCGAGACTATGTTTTTTATCGTACCGACATTAGAAATGATGATCGAGGCTAGGCCGAAAATTCAATCGCTAAAATCTCGGAGCAGAGTGCATGAATCAATTTGACTGAAATTTTCAGCAAATTCCCTTTACATTATCCCGTTTTTAATTATTATAGTGAGAGCTGTCGGCTTTCTATCTAATCTCCCATAATGTATCTTTAATAATAAACTTGATGCAGTAACCGCGTTGTTTTATCATTTCAGGTTTATTTAAAAACACCACTGGAGATATTTCTGATGCTTACTACCTAGAAATCACACCTGCGGGTTGGACATTCAGTGTTTGGGGTGCCATTTATATATGGCAAGCATTATGGTTGATATATGGACTAAGTACCATATGTAGGATGCAGGATGGCCACTATCTATATACCCTCGACTTCATGCCCCCAGCTGTCTATGCGATCTTTATCATAAATCTATGTTGTAACATAGTTTGGCTGTTTCTTTGGGATCGTCAATACCTAATCGCAGCCTTGTGCCTCATCGCCATGACACCCTTCACTTTGTATTGTACCCTCTACTTCAGTTTTTCACGTCTCTATCGGAATTTGAGCTACATGACAAAACGCGCATTAGGCAAGGACGTCTGGCTGGTACGACTTCTGGTTCAAAATGGCATGGCGTTCTATGCTACCTGGACATCCGTTGCTACATTACTCAATTTTGGTATGGTCTTAGCGTATAAGGCTGATCTGGAACAGGATATCGTTTCCACAGCTATGCTGACCATCGTATCGGTAGAGGTTGTGTTTTGGTTTATTTCGGATATTGTACTCTTTGATAAATACACAAGATATATCTTCAGTCCTTACATCATGCAAGTTATAGCTTTCTCTGGAGTAGTGAGCAGAAACTATAACCTGGATACCATGTACCGAAACTCCATCTTCATGCTAACGCTGCTGATTGTAGCTGCCGTACTGTTGGTTCTCAAGGTACTCATACTCTTCTTCCGCCATTTTACCTCCCCTATCACACCAAAAGACAACAACTATCCTACATCACTGGTCAATTTGAAGATTTAAATTGAAGTCCACAAGGAACCGTGAAGTTCAAACCGTGGAACATTTGTTCTTTTCGGAGATTCGAATATTTTTTATGAACCAAAAGTTTTTAACAATTGGGTTTATTTGCCCACCAAACTGAAATTGGATACTCTAGAACTGTTTCTTGTGTTTGTGTCTTGTCCGCTTGTTTATCTTAAAGGATTCTAGTTTTTTCGATCCGCCTTCACATACTATGGAAACAACATAACAACCACGTTTCAGATCCGAACTGAGATAACACAGAATGGATCATATTGATAATAATAGTATGTGTTGGTTTAGTGCAGCCAGCTAAATATAAATGAGGAGTGAAATAATCCCTTACTCGGACTATAGCTAGCAATCATCTCCCCTTTGACTTCAATGAAATGAAATGAGGTTTAACGTTATACTGTTCTACCCCGTTAGGGCTAGTGGAGACGGACCTTTGACTTCAATGTTAACTTCTTGATATTTCTTAGGCTGTAACATTTAAAAACAAAAAAAAATCTTTATAACGACAAAGAGCCCAACATCTCACAATCGTCATATAAAACTATTGCAGGGGGGGGGGGGGTAGAGGGTGGTCATTTCGAATTTTAGCTAGGTCAAAGGATGAATAAGCAGTGGCATCGTGTTAGTAGTTGATTACCCTACTTCATCTTTGGTTACTTCCTGGTCCTTCTGCCGTGGATATTTACCTAAACCTGGCAGAAAATTCTTCGAGTCTACAGAGATCATATTTTCTTTGGGATGACCGCTTTCTATAAGGCAGTAATATTTGGCTCCATGGTTTGTATGAGGCTGTCGGTAGAAAATGTGAGATACACTAGAATTACTATATTTCTTTTCATCATTGTAAAGAAGGGAAAGTGGAATATAACGTCTATGAATGAATACACATTCGGAGTCAATCGTTGTGAATTATTTTGTGGTCTGGATGCATCTCTTTCAATGGCAAATGAATCCTTTCCTTCTTAGAATACTTCATTTGATAAAATACCTCATTGTTTATATCCAATAATAATATTTATAAAAAAGAACGAAATTACTAATGAATTAATATAAAATGTAACTTTTATTTAATTTACTCGATTTTATTTTGCAATTTTCTACTCATTAATAAATTTTTATATTTTGTTATTGTTCTTTTTTTATTATTATTTTTCGGGACGCGTAGGCCCAAGCATAATGAGTAACTCCACCTTTCGGTGTGACGGTAGGTCTTATCTTTGAAAGCATATTAAAGACGAAGGGCAATGCACGACGACCATTGGATATTGTTAAATTCAAGTGTCCATGGTTAACTAATGAGGCTACGAATAGAAAAGAAAGAAACCATCTCACCCACGCGGTAGTTTGATACGCAATATTTATCCACTAGCTGTTTACCATGGCGTTGCAAGGCTGGAGCCCTCCCATCGGGGTAACATAATTGCAAAAGCAAATGTCGGTCTTGGGATAGCCCTAGCCATCAGCCCCTAACATAGGAACACACGACTGAAGGATAGAACAGTAAACAATATATCTTCTATATATTATTATACTAATATTTGTGACTGTCGTTTGTCTGTCTGTCTGTCTGTTTGTCTGTTCGGGGTTGGCGGCTACACTAGGTCTGCCCCGAGTCTGAAATTTGGGGTATAGGGGTAGCTCGGACCAGGGAGTAACATAGGCCAGGTGGCGTGAGTCTACCACTTCCGGTTTCGGGGTTACGACCCCCGGGCTGTTCGGGGTTGGCGGCTACACTAGGTCTGCCCCGAGTCTGAAATTTGGGGTATATAGGTAGCTCGGACCGGGGAGTAACATAGGCCAGATGGCGTTAGTCTACCACTTCCGGTTTCGGTGTTATGACCCCCGAGCGAAGCCGGGCATTCTGCTAGTTACCCAAAATTTATGGCAAACGGCTACCTATTTATTTGGAGGACTTTTTGAAGCGTATTCTCCCAGCCTTATCAGTCTGTTTTCATAAATATGTGTACAGTCACCCGATTAGATTTTATTACATACTTCGAGAAGGTATTTGTTGAGTAATAAAACCTTCTAGTAGTTTATCGAGGGCTGGCCGTCCTTACCGCACGGTACAAATATTATCACCACTAGAAGCAACAAATTCCAGAACAAGCCAGAACTCATACCAAAATGGCCGCTTTATACAAATGAGTATTTATGGGAATACTAACCCGAGCCCTAACCCTAACCCTTTTAAGAAAAGTAAAAACTAAATTAGACCCAAGTTCAGTCTTTTAAAAAGGGTTAGGTTTAAGAATTTGGGGGGGAGAGGTTAAGTCTCCACATAAGCACTGACCTAGGATGATGAAAAATTAGTGATATTTCCTAGTTTTATTAAAATACATACAATATATTAGATTTATATACAAAGGCGATTTCACTGTTTATTGGTGTTGGTGGCGCTGATGGTCTTCCTTGGGTGGTGCTTCTGGTATTCTGGTATTATTGTTTCTGAAGAAAAAAGAAAATAAATTTGAGGCTCTCGGGAGAGAGCCACATTAGTGTGTTTCCTACAACGGATTGGATTTTCTAAAATCTACTAGAAGGTTTTATTTGTACCGTGCGGTAAGGACGGCCAGCCCTCGATAAACTACTAGAAGGTTTTATTACTCAACAAATACCTTCTCGAAGTATGTAATAAAATCTAATCGGGTGGTACAGTTTATATCATTAACATTGCACATGTGGTATAATATTGACACCTGCACTCCAAATTGGGGGATCACGTGGCTAAGTGGGTAGACGCTGGCTCGCTAGCCTGGAGGTCGGGTGTTCGATCCCTGCATTGACCGAGAAAGTTCTTCCAGATTTTCCGGCGTGGTTTCCCCTTGTCAGTGATGCAGGACGGAGGGCCTGACAAGGACAGCTGTCTAGTCGTTCGGAGGGACGAAATACCAAGGTCCCGTGTACATATTGGCGTGCACGTAAAAGATCCCTTGGCAGTTGGAATTCGATATAAGAGTAGGCCGTTGCGCCGCTTCCCGGGTAAAATTTCCCTCATAGCACACTGTATGGCGTATGCCCGTCTTCATTAGCCCAGTTTAGGAGCAGAACAGTAGGACGTTAAACCCCATTTCATTTCATTTCATTTCACTCCAAATATTGTTAACATAGTTGAGTCTGTAAAAGAATGTCAAGTCAAGTTTTGTCGGACAGAGAAGTTACACCACTCATCTCAGTCTAGAAATACAAATGGCCGATATGCACCCGTCTTGCTCGTAGTCGGCACACAGACATCCTTTCAACCCTGAAATCTTATTCTATCCAATTTGCTTGAATTGTATCCTTTAGTTCATTGTCTGTAAATGGTTTCGTTTGTCCCTCATAAACCTTTTCCGAGAAATTGATCACGATGACCAAATTTATCGGATTTAGGTCCAGGGACTGAGACGCCCACTGATGTTTTTTTTTTGTTTATACAAAGTCTAAAACAAATTAAAATGGATTGCACAAGGGCTATGGACGGTGCAATGTACGTAATTACGAAGTGTGCATAAATATAATATTACAGAGAGAGAGAAGGGGGAGAGAGAGAAAGAGATGGGGTCCACTCGAGACACACACTAGGTCATTTAGGGACTAACACATGGTTCAATTTTATTTCAATAATTCGCTTGCGCGTAGGGGTCTTTATTAGTAGGAGGAAACGGAGAAAAGCCACGGGGTTGGACACGAATCGAAGCCACGCCATTTGACTCAATGACATACCTCATGATACAGCGCGTACGTGTTAACCATTCGGTCATCCATAGATGATCTAGGACGTTTTCCATATAATAAATGCAATGTGGCACCAAAGTAAATTAATAATAAACAATATTATGTCAAGTGAAATAATGCACAGGTAAAAGAAAGGCCCTTTACGCCACCTGTCAAATTCACCCAGCCTCGACGGAAGTAAAATGACAAATGTTTACAATATATCACGTTCAGCAAATGGCAGGAATGTCGTTGAGTATTGCATGTACCTCTGTCAGTTGGCGTAGATGGCGTATGCATATTTACCAAAACAAAATAACTTAAAGATTATTTCTGCATTTTAAGGAACGCCTGATTAAGTTCACAAACGGTGGAGGTGATTATATCGCATGCACTGTAGATGATCGGCGAATTAAAAGGAAACACATGCTTATGGGATTGTGTGATTTGTCTCAGGTGACGCATTCAGATGCTGTCGCTGTTTCGTAAACACGATTCCATGCGATCACTGGAATAGGTTAATTGAATTTATGTAACAATTCTTGTTTCAGAACAAGATGTCTTCATCACATATGCCAGAAAGGATTATTCTAATTCTTCTAACGATCGTCTTATATTTGGTTACTCTTGTTGTAAATGCACTGGCAGCACAAGGTGGCGTGGAACTGGGTAAGAGCATTTTTCTTGTGTTACACCGGGGATTATGTCTGACTATATATCTAAGATTTATGGAAACCCTGGTGAAAATCGTTGGCCTTCCCCTTTAAGTGAAAATAATTATCCATATCTGTGTGGGTCTAACAATCCTTTATTCTAGCCCCCTGTAACTACACGAATCTCTGTAGAAATACCAATATTCAGTTAAACGGTCACCTCGCGAATGGATTAACCAGTCAATACCTCATAACTCTCAGGTATACTTTCGGCGGTTTCTTGTTTGTGTAACACCCAGCAAACAATGAAATTTAGAGTTTATTACTGCGTTATATCTAAGAAAGTCGGCTGAGAAAGTCCCCCGGAATTTCATAGCGGGGGGTCCACCTGTCAGTGGTGCAGAACGTAGGACATAGCAAGAAACACCCATTTAGAAGTTTTCCAACGGAATCGAATTGCCGCGTCTGCCAGATCAAGGGCCCGTAGCATCTATGCTGGGCGTTCATTTCAAAACGATTGGATGTTTTTGGGTGAAACTGTCAGGCCCGGCATATGGGCTCCTTTTGAACATTTTAGCGTTTTATTTTTAAAGATGAAAAAAAAATCTTTTTCTGTTATATCATTTCAGGTTTATTTAAAACTAACATGGCAGACATATCTGAGGCCTACAAGCTAGAAATAACCTCTGCTGGTTTGATGTTTAGTGTTTGGGACGCCATTTATATATGGCAGGCTTTATGGTTGGTATATGGCCTCAGTACCATATGTAGAATGAAAGGTGGTCACTATATATATACCCTCGACTTCATGCCTCCAGCTGTCTATATCATCTTTATCATATATCTATGTTGTAACATAATTTGGTTGTTCCTTTGGGATAATCAATATGTATTCACCGCCTTGTGCCTCATCGCAATGACACCATTCACACTGTATTTCACCCTCTACATATGTTCTTCACGTTTATATCGCAACATGACAAAAGGTGCTTCATGTGTCGACATTTGGCTGGTACGATTTCTGGTTCAAAATGGAATGGCGTTTTATGCGACCTGGACATTCCTTGCTGCAGTACTCAATCTCGATACGGTTTTGTCGCACTGGCATCGTCAGGGACAGGACACGGCTTCTACGGCTATTCTGGTAATTTTGTTTGTAGAGGTTGTGGTTTGGTTTATTATAGACATCTTTCTGTATGATAAATACACGCGGTATATCTTCAGTCCTTACCTCATGAGGGTTATAGTTTTCTCTGGGCTAGTTAAAAACGACTATGCCTTCGACACCATCTACCACGATTCGGCCTTAATAATAACGCTGTTGGTTGTAGCTGTTGCAATGTTGTTTCTCAAGATATCCATACTCGTCTTCCGTCATATTACCTCACCCATCATATCCAAGAAACTCGCCCCCATCACTGTCAATTTGGCGATTTGATGCCAAATACAAAAGAAAGGGGTGCATTTTATATTGTATGTTGATTTCTACGTTCCGGTATTAAATATTGAAGAACATTTCCATACTCTGGTAATATCTGCAGGTTCAATTATTGCAGAAGCCTTGTGTTGTATGATTCCAACCTCTTACAAGCCAAAGTTAATATACCCCCAGAAACAAGAAGGCGGCACAAATTAAACACCGAAAATTCGAAGAAATGATGGGTTGGAATGCAAAGGCGAATGGAGGTAATAGTGTTTCACTAATGAATATGGACTAAGCTAAACGTATTGCAGACGCCTTGTTTTGTATGATTCCAGTCTCTTACAAGCCGAAGTTAATATACCCCCAGATATGGCACAAATTAAACACCGAAAATTGGAAGAAATGATCAAAGTGATGGATTGGAATACAAAGGCGAATGGAGGAAATAGTGTTTCCATAAGAAATATGGACTAAGCTAAACATAGGGAGTAAATCGGTCAGTAAAAGAGCACGGGGTTCCATGAGATCATTGACTCGTACCCGAAGTGTTTAGAAAAGTATTTCGGTAAATACTTCCGGTAACAAAAGACGAATAAGGTGAGCAGCGTACATAGTCATCCTAACACTGATCAGAAGTGAATATTCGCTAGGCCGCTACAATCACTGATAAGGATGACATCAATGCGACTTATTAAATTCTAAAACATTTTTTTGATGTATTAGAAAAATAAATAAAGACGTTTGACGTATAGGAGGTAAAAATTATTTCCTATTTAGTGTAAATGGGTATTAAAATGACTAAAAGGCAGCATTCTGGCCGAAGCAGTAACGTCTTATGTAAACTATGCACGCGCCATTCAGCCAATGATTGACGCCGCGTGCTGTGACGGCACGTGTTGAAGGCAGTCATCTTTTATAGAGATATTAGAAGACTTTCGTAATTCTCTGTGAAACAGATTGAGTCATCCTCAATGTCATCCTGATGGAAGAATACGAAAATTGTGCACACGTTAAAGATCCAAACACATATGTTTGGTATTATCTATTAGAAAGACGTATTTTTGTGGACTGGCATAGTCTTCAGTATACGCAAGAGTCGGGGTGGATTAAAACAATAGCCAAGGAAGACCCAGGATTATTATTATTATAAAAACAATGTATATATCATGCTACGATGTGTTTATGCCATTTATTGACTATGTGTCTGACAAGAATATGTTCAGAACTAATTTTATTTCAGTTTTCAAGAAGTTGTTCCAAATTTTGAGTTTATGAAATTAATTTGTACATCAATATAATACAATATGTAAGTAATAGATAGCAACCACTTTCCATGGTGCTATTCGAAATTTTTATTTCTAATAACAACTGTGCAAATGGGGTGCTATCTCACTTACCCATCGACACAAACTATTAAGATAATTGCCAAGTATCAATGAAACCTGACTTTGTGTACGTGAAAATCAACGCATGGGTTTATTGAAAGTTTCTATTACGTCAGTATCAACCCTTAATGACTTTATAGAAGGTTGATGACCACACAGCAATGGTTGCTATGGAGCGAGCTAGGCGAATGCATAGCCGTGCAGGTTATAGTTTTTATATATATATTACATTCTATATCTAGAAAAGTATGTCTTATTCAGATGTAAATACTATTAATCAATCCGTCCTTGAATATTGGACGTTAAATCTGGTTAAAACACAGATCCTATTTCGTTTCGTTTTTATAGTTCCAAATTTCGTTTTATTTGTCTTTACTACACTTTGATCTGGAAGAGTTGTTATTTAACTCGTGTTCTGAATGGTGTCAGGGATAAGCCAATGAAACGGTCTGTTACGGCGAGCTTTAGGCGTGTTTTGCACGGAACTGTGGGTAATCCACTAGTAACATCAATGCTGATCAGTTAATCAAATGTCTGACATCATAGGGTCATAAGTCGATCTTTTGACCCCTGACGTGACCTATCACTATAACTTGTCAGATCTTCATGTAGTGTAGGCCCTCGAAAGTATAAAAAACGAAACGAAATATGGATCTGTATTTTAATCAGATTGATTGGACGTTAAAATTGTAAAGACAAACAACAACAAGCCGTTCCTATAATTGTATGTATATAATTGTTATTATGCGTTCCAGTATTAAAGATCGAGGAACCATTCTTGTAATATGTGTCTCGTAAAATATCATACATTTGACTTAATAAATTCTCTTGCTCGAAGAGGTTATTAAAATGGGAGGAAATCTGAGAAAACCCACAAAGTTAGACACGCAAGCGTACTTGTTGTTACCACGTACGTGCATGGTATATATTGCATCTATACAGATAACGAACTGTATGGACGACTGGCAGTAACATTGGCCAATTGTTTAAATGTCGGGGCTTTGCACTTGCTGCAGATAAGTTGGCGTCTAGTACACAAGTAGGTGCCATTTTTTCGTCGTACATCACTGGCAAGGGGATACCAAGCTGGTGACACTGATATCGAAAAGCATGTGAGTTGATGTAGCGGTAGATATAAAATGGGTAAATATATTAAAATGGAGGGGGAATAACTCTCCTAAGCGACTGCATACAGGCCCAAATAATTTCACAATTTTTTAAATGTTAATTCTGATCTGTTTACACGGCTTCAACTTTTCGTTGAGATTAACGCTCTCAGCCATGAAGTAACATCTAGCCATGCGTGTAATGAGATTATATGAGATTGGCCATTGTAAGATATACAAATTGGAAGTAACATACTATAAATATGCAACTATCCGCTCTAAAGAACCCCTTAAGTCTGTTATCCATCCGCCTCTAAACCATGAATATTCACCTGTCAGAAAATGTCAATTTAAACCCTCGTTTTCAATTCAAGACCAAAAAGACATGCAAAATAAAATGATATGATATTTTTAAGGCCATATTTGCCACAAAAACTACATTCGAGACGGGGAACATGCAAAATGAAATGTTTAAAGCCATATTTGCCACGGAAATTGGGAGAAAAGAGAGATATAAAGATAATGAACTACATTCGAGATAGGGAACATGCAATATGATATGATATGATGTTTAAAGGAGCAAAATTGCTAATATTTGGGACCTAGATATTTACACAAATGGGTCGCAACGCATATAATAATGTAATGTGAATGTATATAAACTGATTTACATTCAACCGAATCTGTTTTATTGTAATTTCTAATCAGAAGTCTCAATTGAATCACAATATTTAGCGTCTGGTTATTCTAGTCTACACCGATGATATTTATTGCGCATGCTCTCCAGATAAAAATATAGCGTCACCATTTGACATGACTTGTGGAATATGTCTAGCCGTGTTCTTTGAGTCCCTTGTTCCAAATGGCGCTGAAACGCATTATGGTACACGATCCGTGTACCAATGGTAAAATGTTTATTTTGTCTTGAATATTGGATATCAGAAGCCCATCTTTTCCCTGTAAGATCACAAGACCAATGTTGATTTGAATTGACAAATAATTCGTGTTTTCAATGTCGAAGATTTTTGATGATATTGAGTTAGGGACTTAGCTACTTTAAAGTCATATTTTCCTCAAAAAATTTGGAGAAAAGAAAGGGAGAGATAAAGATAATAAGATCGGGAACATAATTGGTGGTTTGTCTCCTATTTGGTTTAAAATTAAAATTTTCATAGCTTGATATTTATTCTAACAAAATCAAAATGATAAAAAAAAAACACCCGCATTAGTGCTGACCATATAAATATGTTTACTGCTTTTTAAACGGTTTGCACCTAAGGTATGTGGCACTTGTTGTCTCCATTATGCATGGTGACCACTTTTTTATTTTGAGCAATGTAACAAAGTAGTAATTAATGTGTTGGTGGGCTAGAACCGAAGCTCTGTCAGGTTGCTTAGCAACATAGCCATGTTGAATTTTTTGTGGAAATCAAGGCACCAGCACTGTTGAAAGCCTTTGTTGAAAATTGTGGAAAAAGATGAATATGAATATTTTTTAAGTTCAGAAAAGTCACCAATTAAATGTAGACCATTCTTTTTTAGAATTAAGGTAAAGTTTTGTAGAAAAACTGTAAAATAACAAGTTGTTGGAAAGTTCAGCTATTTAATCTCGGCTATCTAATCTCAGTTATATTACCTCTGACCCCGGCAGGTCCCTCTTGCTGTGGAATGCAAGACAAAACATTGTTTTCAAGGGAGATAACTACTATTAATAATATATGAAAATCCTTGTAATTTATAATACTTAATTGTTTTTAATTGTTATATTTTGCAGCGAATCTCACTCACTCACTCACTCATTTACTCATTTACTGATTCACTCGTTAAGATGTTGAAAGATGTTATGCTTATTGTAGAAAGACGTTATGTTTATTGTTTGAAAGATGTTATGCTTATTGTTGAAAGATGCCGAAAGATAACAAAACTTGAATTTTTAGTGAGATCTCGAATTTTTGGTGAATTATAAGATGAAAAACATTGAAACGAATATGTGTTTATCCGAATGAACAGGATTGCACGTAACCGAACCTTACAGCACTTTTGTCTAGAATTTACAATTATTTCTCAATTTTGTCAATGTTTGAATACTGCATAAAGATTTAAAGAAGTCGCATCCAAAATATTCACACTATTGGATTATTTTTTTCCCAAAATTGACTTTGTTTTAGCAGAGAATGTACCAGATAGGAAATACAATTGATGGTCTGCGTCCAATCTCATGACAAGGACAGCTGTCTAGTCCTTCGGATGAGACGAAAACCCGAGGTCCCGTGTAAACATTGGAATGCACGTAAAAGATCCCTTGGCAGTTGGAATTCGATATAAGAGTAGGCGATAGTGTCGCTGCCCGGGCAAAATTTCCCTCATAGCACACTGTATGGCGTATGCCCGTCTTCATTAGCCCAGTAGGAGCAGAACAGTAGGACGTTAATACGTTAAATATTGTTATTTTGCCAATGTTCTATTTAGGCCGACGTTATTACGTTTGTCAATATTTTACATAGAAATGATAATTACAATGGGTTAGTCTCAGAATTAATGCTGTGTGTTGATGCGACATTAAAATCACATATCAGCTCATATTGGTACATTTATGTTTAAAAACAACAAACTATGCGTTGAACACACATTACATGTATTAGATGTAAACAAAAACACATGATTTTATAATTCTAGAAATTGACACAAATGGGTCGCAACGCATATATCCATGTAATATGAATGTATATAAACTGATTTACATTCAATCGTTTCCGTTTTTACTCCAAATTCAAATTAGTTATGTTCGACGAAATACGCGAAGAGTCTCAATCGAATGGCAATCTCGCGTCTCTTTATTCCAGTCTACTCCAGTAATTTTTATTGCGCATGCTCCCCAGTAAGAATATGGGTCACCGTTTGACATAACTTGTGGAATATGTCTAGCCTCGTTCTTCGAGTCCCTTGTTACAAATGGTACTGAAACGCATTCGGGTACACGATTCGTGTACCAATGGTAAAATGTTTATTTTGTATTGAATATTGGATATCCGAAGCCCATCTTTTCCCGGTAAGATCACAACATCAATGTTGATTTAAATTGACAAATAATTCGAGTTTTCAATGTCGAAGACTGTGGATGATATTGAGTTAGAGACTTAGCTACTTTAATGTATTAGAAAAAAACACAGGATTGTGTTAAAGTAGCTAAGTCTCTAACTTAATATCATTTGTGTCAATTTCTAGGTCCCAAATATTAGCTGTTTAGCTCCTTTAATGTGCGAAAAAAGAACACAAATTTGTGTATATTAGTTTTCACACAAGATTTTTTTTTTTCATTGTCCCATTCCATTAAAAATTACATCTTTATAACAAGAAAAGTACAATATACCAGGAAGGTTTAGTAAATAGAAAGAGTGGCTAATCCTAGTAATATTGTAGTAAGTGAAATTGTACGTGTATTTCCACTAGATAAAAAGAAATGTTCCACGTTGAGCCACGTGCCGTTATTAGGTAGAACTTCAATATCTAGTATTTTACACATCATCTGATATAAGTCGATATTTCTGATTGATTCACTCTCATAATTCTCCAAGAAATCTGAAATATAACCAAACTGTAAATTTCCATGTATGGAGCTAGTCAAAGAAATGTTGCTAGTTATAATTCATCCATAATGTTGTTCGGATAAACAATGCTGACTACCTTCCCATTAAATCACGGAGCACAAAATACATAAAAGAATACCCAACAAGTAATTGTGTCCTTTAAAATTACTGTCGTTGTCCTTAGTGTTTAACGTCCGCTTCCACTGAAGGTGATATCGCAGACAAGTCGTATTTTTCATTATCTTAGCGCACGCACAGGGGTCTTTCTTGTGGGAGGAAAATGGGGTGCCCGGAGAAAATCCACGAGGTTGAGAAGGTACCCCTAATCTCCAGGCCACATACTCTCATACCTGCGATCGAAACTACAGCCACAAGCCAGGGGTGACCGGCCAGCTAGAGGTCCGTTACTTTAATATTAGTTACTGAGGTACTTATTTTTGTTTATAGCCAAGGCTACGTCACTGCCCCAGTTGTTTCCTCAAAATTCATTGCATGGGTATCGTTTTTACTTTTTACACCCTATACGCGTCACAAGTTTATGGCGTCAAAACTGACCGGAGTTGTCTAACCAAGACAAAATCTTTGAAAATTTCAATATGGAGATTATGTACTTACTTGGTCCCATTGCCAGAAACATTCCATGCATATCTTTGAGTTCTGGGTCAAATCCATGCTCGCCCTTCATAATTCCAGTATCATATTTATAAAACCCAAACCCAGGCTACAACAAAGAAGAGACCACATTTTACCAATGAGAAGTCGAGGGAATGTAACGGATATTGACGATGATAGCACCTGGATAGATGTCACATATTGGCACAACACAATTTAGTACCGTTTAAATTAATATTTACCGTATCAATCCATCAACAAACCTCTAATTATTAAAAGATACCAGGGGCGGATATAGGAATTTTGAAAAGGGGGGGGGGCGCCGAAAAATGAGGGCACTGACCGCGGCGACGCGGCACGCATCTGTAGCCATTCCAAGAGCTATTTGGCTGATATTTTCGTCTTAGTAAACGTTCGGAAATCGTTGAAAAAGAGCCTTAAAATCGAGCAAAAAAGCCAGTTGAACACGCGACTCAAAAATTGTCAAGGCGAGCGAGGCATTATGATGGGAAAAAAGACGAATCTATTCCCTAGCCACTTCACTATTTAAGCCTTGTAATATGTACTGTCCACACATGAAACAATGCTACATCAAGTTGCACTAATGCGCGTCGGTGATGGGCATGAGTGTATAGTAGTATACGCCGCCGATTCCACAAGATGCTATCATTGATGTCTGTCTAGAGTCACTCTATAGGATTAGGGCACCGTCAGCTAAACAACAAGAATTCGTTTGAAAGTGGAAGCATTAATTAGACCAGACTGGTGTGTTTGAGTCGATGATTTGGGTCATTTGGGGTCCCTGCAACGGGTTGGGAACGGACATATTTGGGTCTGAGAAAAGGCACTTTCAGCAGTAAAAAAGGGCACTGTCAAAAATTAGGGGGGGGGGGATTGGATCCGCCTCTGGATACGGCTATTATTGGAAGTGAAATTGGGGTTAACGTCCTTCACACTGTTCTGCACAGATTGAGACAATGAAGACGGATATACGCCATACAGTATGGTATCAGTGAATACTCACAGCATCAGTATACCAATCAAGATAATTATGTTGCTACCAATGACTGTGCTGCATGACAGTTATTAGTATAATGTCAATGGGTGGGTTTCAATTAATAATTACTGTATCAATATACCAAACGAGATCAGCTACGAGTAATAACGGTGCTATACGACTATTATCTAGATCTACTTCTAACAGTGACTAGCATATGGTTATCCCATTTGAATGGGACAGGTTTCAATTAATACTTACCGTATCAATATACCAACCAAGATCAGCTACTAATAATAACGGTGCGATGCGACTGTTGTTGGTATAATACCATCGCGAGGGTATATCTCCCTTTAGATAAACCGTCATATGTCGATCATAATTCTTTAGTAATTTGTAGATCTAAAATCAAAACAATAATATTAGTAAAGTATGGATGCATTACTAAAGTAATACGACAAAATATGGTGATATAAGTATGGGTAAAAATCTAAATTATCGTCGGATAAAACAGACACAATCTGATATACATATATATATATATATATATATATATATATATATATATATATATATATATAATTGTTAGTTACGTAAAATCCACAAATAGAAAGTGGTTTTAGGTATTCTAGAAACTGACACACCACACCCTTGTTTAGCAGATACTTCACTAAACTTTCTTTGACAATATTAAGCATGGTGTACATGTCGCTTATAATAATATATTACTTTACTGAAATGTGGCTGGCTAGCCGATATTAAGCAATACTTAAGGGGCCCATACACGTTCAATAATTCCTTCAATATTACTGACTCAATATTATTGACTCAGTATATTGTCTCAATATATTGACTCAATAATATTGAACGTGTGTGGGCTATATTGATGTAAAATATTGTCAATAACCATCATTGCGTCAATATATTGACGGATCAAAACATTTTGATTTTTATTGATGGTTCATCAATATATTGACGGCGGTAAATTTATTGAATGACAATATTGATCGTGTGTGGAGAATCTGTCAATAATTGCGTCAATAGTTTCATTCCATCGTCAACCTTGGAAGAGTAAACATGGCATCCATTTTGAAAAATGACCACAAAATGGGGAAATTATTGATGGAAATATTGAATCGTGTGTGGGCAATTCCTATCAATATCATTGAATCAATATATTGAGTCAATGTATTGGGTCAATAATATTGACGGAATTATTGAACGTGTATGGGCCCCTTTACAACACGGCCACAACACATATTAAATCTGACATAACCAAGATCCATTTTTACTATTATTATGTCTATTTAACAAAACAGATGATACATGTAATAGTGTTGGAACATTGTGTAAAATAAACTAAGAACTAGTAAATCCAAATAGTTGGATTTGTTTAATAATCTTTAAACATTTATATTGTTACATATCGTTCATTCTGTTCAATTACTCACCTCCATTCTTGACTCTTCTTTCGGCCATATTGAAATTCTGGAACCGTAGCCATTGATGACTGCATCTATTTTATCCATGGGCAGTAGTGAGGTGATATTTATCACTCGGGTGAGAGAAACGTCCGTCATTCCATGGTCAGAAAATATCATTATATTTATATCATTCTCTACACCTAAATCCGTCATTTTTGTTAATAATCGATCAAACTCGGCATCCACGTTTTTCAGCCAATCGTAAACCTCTGTTGAATCCGGACCGTATCGATGTCCCATGTCATCAACGCCTTCGTGGTATATTCCTGCAAGCAAACGCCCAAATAAATGTAAATAAAATATGGTACTAAACATAAAGTAGAACAAACATTCTTGACAACCCTGGCTTAGACTTCAGTTATTTATCTATAAACCACGAATATCAATCGCAATTTTCCCATTAACTTAGTATAAAGGTGTCAGTTGAGAAAGCAACCCACCCCGATCCCTTCCATTATAATTGTCACTACTAATTGATAAAAATAAATGTTTAAACATTGTTTATTCCAAAATGAAACGCCAGCTGACGGACGAACAATGGTGGTGACTGTTGTGTGTTACGTTAGAGGCATATTCCTGAAGCAATGGCCCGAGAAATCCCTCTCTGGCATTAGTTCTAATCAACCGAAACACTGCGAGGAGTATGCGTTAGAGGTGTTGCTGTAATCTGTGCTTTATGTTATTACGTTAGGGTCACTAACCCACTAGATCAGCTGTTCCATTCATTAGAGAATCCAGACCCTGATCAATATCTCGTCTAAAATACTTTAATTTTTTGACTGGTGAATATGGTCTAAAATAATCTGGTCTCGTGCCATGTATCTCTACATCACCTCCGACCCAATTATACATATAAGAACTCTTTCCCTGTAAGACAGCAAAATATTCGAATATAAGTACTCATCCCCAAAAAGCCCCACTAACAAAGAACTGTTGATACTTCCTTCAAATTATTCACAATATGATAGAGAGAGAGAGAAATGGGGTTTAACGTCCACTCGACATAAACTAGGTCATTTCGGGACTAACATATGGTTTAATTTTATTTACATAATTGGCTTGCGCGTAGGGGTCTTTAGCAGTGGGAAGAAACCGGAGGACCCGGAGAAAACCCACGAGGTTGGACAGGCGACCCTACTCCTTGCCACGTACAACCGGGGATTCGAAACCACGCCAGTCGACTTAATGACAGATTGTATGATACAGCTAACCATTCAGCCATCCAACACCCTTCACAATATGACGTTATGCAAAAGTTGTGAGGTGGTGGTGGTGGAGGAGGGTGGGGGCTGTTCTCTTCTCAAATAAATGAAATGGGGTTTAACGTCCTACTGTTCTGCTCCTAACCCGGGCGATAATGAAGACGGGCATACGCCATACAGTTTGCTATGACGGAAATTTTGCCCGGGCAGCGGCGCTACGGCCTACTGTTATATCGAATTCAAACTGCCAAGGGATCTTTTACGTGCACGTCAATGTGTACACGGGGCCTCGGTTTTTCGTCCCATCCGAATGACTAGACAGCTGTCCTTGTCAGGCAACTGTATATGATTATCTACCGGTCCTGAAAATCTAAAACTCCATGCATGGTCTATATATTTATATATTTTATTTAGGATCAGGGCGTATACGCCTATGGAACTGAAACTAAGTTTCCAAAATGCTTTACATTGAAATATGTCAGCAACATGCCTCTGAAATCATATAAACTTTCCTTCTCGGATACCGCTCATGATTTAAAAACACGTGACCCTTTGCTTTTTTCAAACACAAACACATCGTTATTAATTCCCGTATATTCAAGCTCTTTAATATTTTTGCGCACAATGCTTACTATGGTTGTCAGTTGGCGGTGGCTCAGTGAGGTCTCGGGTTCGCTCCCGGTGTTGACCGAGAAAGGTCTTCGGGCTTTTTCCTGCGCGGTTTCAGCTTGTCAGTGGTGCAGAACGAAAGGTCTGGCAAGGACGGTTTCGAAAAAAAGAGGTCCCGTGCGCGCGAAGGAACCGTCGACAGTTGGAATTCGAAATAAGAGTAGACTGTAGCGTCGCTGACTGGACAAAATATCCCTCGTAGCATTTCATTTCATTTTCCCGATGGCGCCAATTACGTCGATCCAACGAATTATGTTTACCTCTTTTGTTGCAGTTATCCAGACAGGCTCGCCTTCTTCAAACCATAAACTTTTATCTTCTTCTTTACCAGATTTCGGTGGATAATACTTTCCCGTATTAACATCGTACATATCATTGTCAACAAAACCATGATTCTCACAGTGTAAACCTGAAACATTAAAATAAACCAAACAAGATGGTAAAACATGACAAGAGAATTGTTCTGGTAACATATCTCCGATAAAATAGTATATAATTATATTCCGTAGCAGGGGCGGATCCAGGAATGTTTACAGGAGGGGGTTGGCCAGTTTCCTGAGACAATGTATCTCCCCCCTCCCCCTCTCCCGCATGGTCTCTATCGTCATTTTGGCGTATATACATACGCATTGAGCTTTTTAAACAGAGAAATTCAAAACCTCGTTTGACGTCAATTTTTATTATGAATTAATACAATGACATTGTGATTCAATTTCATGGATGCAAAGCATTAATTGTGATATCACATAATGTCTGTATCATTATCTCGTGCTTTGGGTGCCCATCCTGTCCAACATCTGACGATAAAGGATAAAGCACAGGGCCGAGAAACTTTCCTCATAAAAAGTGTTGATTTACAAATAAAATTATGTAGCTGAGCAGGTGGGGGGGGGGACTAATAAAGACGAACACGCGTCATACAGTGTGCTCTTAGAGAACTTTTGCCTATTGACAATACGGAGGAACCTTCTCTACCAACACCAGGATCCAACGCGGACAACCATGTTAGTGAATCAGCAGACTCCGTTTCTAGAAGGCGTAAACGTATAGCTACACTTACCTGTCATGAGAGAATAATGATTAGGGTAAGACACAGAGGGAAACTCAGGTACAAGAGACTCCACCTTGACACCCCTCTCCTTAATTCGTTTAAATCCCGGTAAATTTGCTGAGTCCCTGTCCAGATAATCCCATCTGACCCCGTCCAGCAGGAACACCATTAGCTTATGACCACCTGCACCACTAATTGTCAATAGACTTGCAGCAACAAGGATTGTCAAATGTTGCAGATATATCAGTATAACCATGATGGAAACTTCTTCTTAAAACCCAACACATGTACACCAATTCAGCTAACTACAACACGAAACATAAATGTCACATTAACTACGATAATACTCAAACATTGAAAACGACTCAATTTTATCTTACAATCCAAGATTTGAACACCAATTCACCTAAACACAGCAAAAAACATTTACTACGATAAGGTCGTAATTTTATCTTAGATCGGATTTAAGGATTGCCCGTTTAAAGATTAGGTGAAACCGCAGTAAAGATAAAATTCACTTCAGGTCTAGGGCTGTGGTTGCATTCTCTATACCGATATCGACGTTAAGTCCTGGCACACTAGAACTGGTACTGATATAAGGTCACTCATGAATTGGCATTTAAGGTCATTACCAGTTGTTTTTACTACAGCCAGTACAGGGTGCAAGTAATCACATATCATGTCAAATAATTTCCGTGGAATATCCTTTTATTACGCACATGGTTACAGTTCCACACTTCACAGCTTTCAGGCAAACTAATTCGACTAAGTGATAACCCAGACAGGTTTTTCCATCTGCGAAGCTGACCGCAAAGTTTACGGTCAAAGAAGTGTGCCAACGAATTAATATCTTAATGTTCCACATCCGCTCTAATAGTCCATTGTCAACAAATTAACCAGACTCGAACACCCAGTCGAGTATTACGCGTCCGGAATTTCAAAGCAGTTTATATATATGGATTACATTACAAGTCAAACATATACATATTGTATGCATGTATGGAAAAGTTTGTCGGGTACATTTCCCCATACAGCTATGACTGTATGACAGAGACTACAAATTACCATGTGATTCATCAATGGCGTATGTTTGATCACGTGATGTTTTACCGCCATCCTAACCCTCGCCATTACTGAGAGCGAATGCCTCGTACGTGGTATAAGAGAACAATTGTGTTGTTCCTTTATTTGTAGTGTAACATAAACACCATTAAAACAAATTAGACTTGGCAACTCCTAGAGACATTTAATCCTCATTAATAGAAAAAAAGACATTTCGTGACATTTATAAAATGAATCATTTAAGTAGTAAAATTAATTCTAGAAGACCAACCTTTTAAGAAATAAATAAAGCGTGAAAACATTTTCCCATTATTAAACGTCCAAGTGCGTTCAAGATATTCGTTTTCTTGAAACTACATCCCATGTATTATTTACTTGCGAATGAACCATCCCCTCTACGTATTCGTTGTTTTAAGAATATAAAAGTGCATTACTTATATAAGGGCTCAGTAAGTAAAACGTTGGCTAGCTAGCCCGGAGATCCTGTGCTCTATCCTAGAGTTGGGGGAAGATACTTCATCCAAATGTTTTCAAGGGACAAATGTCCTATTCATTTTGTTTTCATTTTTCAGTTACTCAATAAACGCTAATCCATTTGCGAAAATGCCAAATCCAAACATCCTAAATGGGAAATTAATCAATGACAAAGTAATATCATGAATCCGTATTAGATGTCCTTCTAATCAACGATATGATATCAATGAGAGAGAGAGAGAGAGAGAGAGAGAGAGAGTTTTAAGTTTTTGTTTGATGTTACTATTTGAATGGTTTTTTTAACTTGTTGAAAAGTTGATTGCACCATCTGGCGTTACAGAGGTCGATTTTTTTGTCACAATGAGTTAAGTTTCTTGCTCACATTAAAGTTTCAACCTTCGCACCGAAAAATGAAATTAAAATTTCCTCAGTCGGGATTCTTCGTTTTTTACGTACGTACAAATAACGATTGAATTTAATATTTTGTACGAGTGCGCAACCCTTAGTTGTTAAGAGAGAGAGAGAGAGAGAGGGGAAACTGGAAGACCGGAGAAAACACATGAGGTTGGATCTGTATAAGTAGTCCTACTAATCAACAACAAGAACTTACAAAGTATCAACCGGCCATATTTTTGTCAATGTTTCATGAAATAATTTAAATTTTGGATGTGGTTTGCTAGTCACTTTTTTGCAATACTTTGTGCTCTTTCAACAAAAGAACGTTCTTATCGGCGATTAGCAGGACACTGTATAAGAAGGTGATATGAAACGAAATGGGGTTTAACGTCCCACTGTTCTGCTCCGTCTGGGCTAATGAAGACGGCCATACGCCATACAGTGTGCTATGGGGAAAAGTTTGCGTGGACAGCGGCGCTACGTTCTACTTTTATATAGATATCCGCTGTCAAATGATCTTCAACGTGCCCGCCAATGTGTGCTCAAAACCTGGGGTTTTCGTCCCACACGAACAGCTTTACGTTGTCCTTTGCCAGGTTCCCTGTCTTACTCGTTGAGGCACCTTGGCTCCGTATAACAAGATAGATTATTAATCCAAATTTTAAGTTTTGAAGCAACCGGGTCAATTCTGAACCAACATGAGGTATATTTTATTTCAATAGTTGGCTTGCGATGAGAGTATTTTAATAATGAGATGGAATTGGGATATCCGAAGAAGACCCACATGGGTATACAGGCTACCATACTTACTGGGGCACATAAACTTGGAATGGAATACTGGATTCATAAATGACAAGTCTTATGATTTGCTGCGTCCGAGTTAGACACCCCACCCCACCCACACACCACTTCCCCCCAAACAGTGCGTGAGTGCTGGTGTGACGTCTCATTATTGTAGGGGAGGGGTCGCATGGTATTTATCTGTGTTCTGCTAACGTATTTAATAGAATTTAAAGCAAATAGTTATCAGGTATATCAGTGATAACGTTAATTACAGAACAATACAATTTATATATCAATTACTTATACATCACAATGTTCTCGAATTTAATTAATGATTCGTCTACCTCCAAATATGCCAATATAAGAAAGTTACACAAAGACCATCTTTATCTATTGCATTTACTAGATGAAAATTAGAGTCTGCACGAGGTAGCTCAGAGGGATCGATTATTGTCAGTTGTATGAGTGTACCATGAGATATATATTAAGCCCTGACTATAGTGAATTGTCATATGTTTTGTGCCGTGCTCATTAACGTGTATACAGGCCCGTAACTAAGGGGGGGGGGCACAGTTTGCCTCCCCCCCTCCCTTCCCCTGTCAAAAATTTGTCAACCATAAAAGCAATAGATATACATTGTCCTTAAATTTTACATCACGCCTGAGAACACTTTCCACCCCCCTCTTTGCTCTGAGCTATTTACGGCCCTGCGTGTGCAATGGGCCTCGATTCCAGTTTTGATCCTAGACTTTTACCTGACAAAACGTTAATACAGCTGCTTAATTTTGATTTGTTACCTTCGCTCACATAGTTCAGCCGAAACATGAACATCCCCGTTTGGTGTTGACTTTTAACAAGAATATCAACGCTCATGTCATTTACTATTATACTAACAGGGGCGTGTCGAGGAATTTGAACAGCGGGGCGTTCAAGGTGTAGACAACATCAAGTTTGGAGTGACGTCTAGGGGATTACCCCAAAATTTAATAAAATAAGAAGCTCTGAGACAATATTTTTGCTCATTTAGGTGCACATATGTATAAGGATGAGAGTGGAGTAAGGTGACAACAAGTGCCATGTTTTGCACTTTAGTATTCCGACATTATTTCAATGAATGTAGCAGATTAAAAACTATGCTCGAGTAGTGGAGAGTCTGGCCCCCTGCCCTCCCCCGATTTTGTTTCCCTGTATTTAAGTGATTCTGATATCAGTATGTCAAGGTCTGTTATCAATTGACAATGGTCTGGTAATTATACATAATTTGAGACATACAGTTTATATATTATAAAATAAAGTTCCAAATAACAATATACTATAATAATCGTATGGCATTTATTGGACACATTAAAAAACACACCACAATTTATATGGAACACAATCATTGACACATATAGCACGACGTTTTGACATGTATTCTTCTATCATTTTCAAGTACAAACGTTGTGCTATATGTGTATAGACCAGTGAATGTTTTCTATATAAATTGTGTTGTGTTTTTTGACAATATACTAGAAATAATTGTGATAATCTATGTGTTTTTATTAATCTAGTTTTTATCCCTTTACAAATGTCCGCTATCACCGGCGTCTTTCTTTTTCTTTTTAGACGACTCTTTTCCAGTACTTGCTGGTTCCTATAATAAGATATAATAAACATAATCAAGACCCGATAGCAGTGCGCTAGGGTGAAACCTGGTGTTATTATACATCATATCGAAATTTTAATAATTTCATAACAAAGTTGACAAAATTTTGGATAAGTAAAATTGGTAAAAAAAAAAAAAAAAAATAGATAAATAAATAAATAAAGCCCCATTCTTGTCTTCGTTTAGCAATCAGTATTTGTTAATATTATTTTATTTTAATCATCCATAATTTGTTCAGTTGTTTATAAAAATATTTAAATATTTAGAATGTGCATATTGATAACATGTATTTCCTTGTGGGTCAATACTATCTGCAATACTTTGGGAGCGAGAGAGAAATGGGATTTAAAGTACAATCGACACAAATTAGGTAATTCCGGGACTAAAATATGGTTCAATTTAATTTCAATAATTCGCTTGCGCGTAGGGGCCTTTCGCAGTGGGAGGAACGGGAGGTCCCGGAGAAAATCCATGAGGTTGGACAGGCGACCCTACTCCTTATCACGTACTGCAACCGGGGAATCGAAACCACGCCAGTTGACTCAATGACAGACCTTATGATACAACGCGCTACCCCCCCCCCCCTTCCCCTCAATTCTTTGAGCGCTATTATCATTGATAAAAGAAACATTGATTAGTAGGACCTATATTATTTAAAATGGCGGGCAGCATTGCTTGGCAGACGGCAGGATATAGCCCAAGTCCTGCATCTACAATAGACCATAGACCGATGTTTCGGTTAAGGTTAAGGTCATAGGGTAAAATAGATTCTAAGTGATGTTCATAGGGTTGAAAACATCGCTCAGCAGGGGCGGATCCTGAAATGTTTCCCAGGTTCCTGTTAAGCAAATTTGACAGCTGACAATGCATGATTGCATCATCGTCTCAAAATTACGTGGGCACACTCTGGTTTTTTAATGAGAGAAATCCAACACCCCTTTGACGTCAATTTTTATAACGAATTAAAAGGATCACATTGTGATTCAATTTCATGGATGCAAAGCATTAATTGTAATATCACATATCTATATCATTATCTCGCGCTCTCAATGCCCATACCATCCCATATCTGATGATAAAGGATAAAGCACACGACCGTTACACTTTTCTCATAAGAAGCCCCTGCTCAGACGTACCTTAGTGTCATAAAGAGGATTGTCAAAACCACTGCTATCAAAAGTTGCTGGTTGAGTTTCACTCAAAGACAAGTGAAAATCTTGTATATTTCTGTCCTGAAATAGAAAGAAAACAAGAATAGATTGTAATTTACCTTCCTTGTCGATTCCAAATTATAATGCGGATAATTATCGTCTATCATTGCCGTATTGGAAAAAACATTATGAAAGATGGGTGTGCTGTTGACATATCCAAATTTCAAAGAAATTACATATTGAATCATTACTAATCGCCATAGGATTAATTCGAAAATCAGTCTGGCCGTATTTTCAATACTGAAGAATATGTTTTTAAACATGCAAAACTGTTCCCCGAATGGAGAGAACGCATACTATCCGGTACAAATAACACATTTCATATATTTTTCTACAATCTATTGACAAGGGTAACGCGCCAGTAAACCATGGGATTTTGAGACTAACTGGTATATTTTTCTATAAGAAACTCTGAGCACTCTCGGAATACACATTGTACTGGGGTTCCTCTAATTTAGACCTTAAGTTATATTTTTCAAATTTAACTAGAGGTCAACTAAAATCCCCCCCCCCCCCCCAACCACCACCAGGTCATGCACAGCGATCGAAAGAAACCATGGCTAATTGTATCGTTGTCAGGCCTTACAATACAAATCGCACGCCTCAAGCCACTCTTGTGTGTGGTCTGCATCCTTTTGAATTATGCCCCTTCTATTAATTGCCACTTACGTCTAAAGGTTCACCGTACATTTGATTTTCAAATGAGGTGTTAATAGTGCCCAGTTCTGTACCAATAGAATGTAAATCATCATCACCACGGTTGAAGTTGTGTCTAAGAGTTTGGATTCTTCTTGTGATGGGGTTTCTGCAAAAGACGATAAAGACAGAAATGAAATCGTGTTGTATGGTATGTTAAAGCCTAGCTCACGACCCGCAGTACGTGTTTTGATACGCACGGGTCATAGAGTTTGGTAGTTCGCAGACCAGCCGCAAGAAACCGGATGAAAATTGTGTACGTGCAGGACCAAAAGTCTCTACGCACGGGTTTACTAAAATATACTCCTTAAGCTGCATTTCCTTTAGTACGGATCCAGTCCGGCTCCGGCCCGGTTAAGGATACGGAAAAAAACACTTTCATAGAATTTTAGTAAGAGTGTTTCTTTATGTGCGGATGCGGATACGGTTCTGTATGCGGCGTCCGGTACGGTTTTTCGAAACGGACCATGTAGCGTTCGTTACGGAAACGCATGCGGAACCGTGTCCGTAAACGCACATAAGGAAACACAGTTTGGGTAGCCCGCACGGGAAAAAGCTAAAAATAGGTTGGGAAATTCGCCCTTTCTTGGACACGTGTTAGTCGAATCAGAAAAAGAAAACCGCATATAAGGATACACAACCTGCTGTGTGCTATGTCTACTCCCGGACCGGAGCCGGACCGGATCCGTACTAAAGGAAATGCAGCTTAAGCCTAGCTCACAACCCGCCGTACGTGCTACTACGGGTAGTCTACAGGGGAATTATTTTAGTAAACTAGTGCGGGAGACTTACGCGTCACTTGTGTGTGTTCGGCAACGTAGAAGATCGCAGACTGGCCTTAGAAGACCAATGACCGGTCGTAAAGACTTTTGGTCCTGCACATACAAATTTTTCACCCGTTTTCTTGCGGCTGGTCTGCGAGCTATCAAATCCTACGACCCGTGCGTGTCAACACACGCACAACGGGTTGTGAGCTATAGTCTGTTAAACTACATATACTCGGAAATTAACAGAGAACTTACCCTCCACCCATTGTGACGTTGCTAGTCGGTTGTGTCAGTCGACTCATTCTATTCCTCAGATTTCTTCGACTGAAAATATAAATCGTGGACACTTTCAGACATGTTATTGGAATTCCAGTCATAAATGAAATGAATTTCGTGCATGGTCTCTTGATATTGGATTTTTACAAGTGAAAATACCTGCCACAAACAGATCTATGTCGTCATATCCTATGCTTAACGTTTACTAGTCAGTTAAACTGGTGGCGTGGCGTCCTTACTGCGCTGCTACGGCGATGGAAATTGGTTTTAGAGCGCGTCAAGATCGCCATAAGCGTGGTAGAAATGCTAGCTATCGTGCTGTGGTCTCCATGGTCGCCAAATGATTGCCGAGGTTCTGCGATCTGAACTGGAAAGCTAAAAGAATGCGACTTTTTTCAAGTTTGTAATTTTTTGGGACATTTTCTTGTGTTGTGATCCCGTTTGTCGACGACTTTGTCCATTTTCTAGTCGCCATACGGTCGTAGCAGCGCAGTAAAGACGCCACCTCGGTCTGACGGGGGCATTAAGGCTGTGACTAATACCTACACTACTATTGGTTGGGTTTGGGTATTTAATTCTGCTATAAGCGTTCAACGTCCGCTTCCATCGAGGGTGATATCACAGACAAGTTGTCTTATATTTATTTATTTATCTTGGCACACCCGCACCGGGGTTTTCCTGTAGGAAGAAACCGAGTACCCGGAGTAAACCCATCGATCGAAACCACTACCGTAAGCCAGAGGTGACCGGCTAGCTAGAACTCGAAGCGTGACACACTAGACAACTAGGCCATCACACTCCCTGCCTTCCCCTCAATGGATATTTAATGGAGATGGATTTTGGACATAGTCACGTTTTCGATCTAGAAGTATGATGAGAGAGAGAGAGAGAGAGAGAGAGAGAGATGGGGTTTAACGTCCACTAGACACAAACTAGGTCATTTCGGGACTAACATATGGTTTAAATTTATTTCAATAATTAGCTGCGCGTAGGGGTCTTTAGCAGTGGGTCGAAACCGGAGGACCCGGAGAAAACCCACGAGATTGGACAGGCGACCCTACTCCTTGTCACGTAAAACCGGGGATTCGAAACCACGCCAGTTGACTCAATGACAGGCCGTATGATACAGCACGCACGTGCTAACCATTCGGCCATCCAACCCCCCAGAAGTATGATGTTTACACATGTGTTTATTATGACTACTGTGTGATTTCTAACCACTTGTTATATATAATACATATTAGTTTAGACTGACGATGACCAAAGTGAAATATTTACACACAGAAGATATATTTTTAGACGCCAAGAATTTAGAAACAAAGTATAAACTCACTTATTTTCGTTGAGAAGGTAGAGTACCAGTAAAACTATAGCAACAGCTATCATTATACCAATCACGATGCCCGTTATACCACCTCCACCGAGTTTGCCTAGAAACAGAGAAGTAGGAAAGGAAATGGTGTTTAGCGTCCTACTTTCTGCACCGACTGGGATAATGAAGACAGGCACTGTGCTATGATGGAAATTGTTTCGAATTCCAAATGTCAAGGGTGTTTTTACGTGCATGCCAATGTGCACACGGAATCGCTGTTTTTGGACCATCCGAACATCTAGACACAATTGTTAGGTGCTCCCGCCCACTCTATATCAAATTCCTACTGCCAACGATCCCTTTATTAGCAAGCACGCCGATAATACGTTTTCAATTGCCAGACCCTCCATCCTGCACCACTGACAAGGAAAAAACACCGGGATGGAACACGGGGCCTCCTGGTTAGAGAGAGAAACAGAGACAGGGAGAGATAGAGAGAGAGATAGGTTTAACGTCCACTCGACACAAACTACGTCATTTCGGGACTAACATATGGTTCAATTTCATTTCAATAATTCACTTGCGCGTAGGGGAGGAAACCGGAGGACCTGGGAAAACCCACGAGGTTTGACAGGCGACCCTACTCCTTGTCACGTACAACCGGGTAATTGAAACCACCCCAGTTATTCAGTGACAGACCTAATGATACAGCGGGCACGTGCTAACCATTCGGCCATCAACCCCCTCCCTCCTGGTTACCGATCCAGCAGCTTACTCACTAAGCTACCACGGTTCCTTACAATGCATCAACTCTCTACTCCAATACAACATGTAACATTTGAAGCTCAGTGGCGATTAAGAAATATGATATTACACATTATTATGAATTAATTACCTGTGTTAGCGGATGGTCCATTAGGTCCAATACCAGCCCCGGATACAGCTAAGGATACAGAAGATATAGCGTACTTATGTCCACCCTGAGATAAATCTACAAAAGAAAAATGAATCATGATATTATAAAATCACTTATTCACCTGCTAGTGCTATCTTCTAAATTCGAGCCACCCGATCTTCCGTCAAAATTCGACACTAACATCGAATACGGTAACTGATTGACTTTTATAAATGGAATGAACTGGGGTTCTTGCTCCATTCGGGCCAATGAAGACGGGAAAATGCCTGCTAGCACCCGCCAACCCCTTCCTATGTCACCGACAAAGCAAAACTACGAGGCGGGATAACCCGAGGACTGTCCTCGGTCAACATCGGGATGGAACCAAGGACCTCCAGTGGCCTCCAACACAGATATAATCATACAAGATTATGGACAACTATCACAGTCTATTACTATCTAATTATCGAAGCTCCTAAAACATGGTCATTTTCGTACCCAACCTATGTCAGAGAGTAAAAAATATACTCTTGATCAATTATTTTTTTTAAGGATTATTTCAGGATTTAGGTGTGATTTTGATGGGAAAACGTTTAGAAACAAATCGAAATTTAAAACATTTAAAAAACCCACCTTTGTCCATGTCATTTTTAATGTCCATAGCTGTTTTAGTGCTGACTTCACCTGTTTTATCTCTAATGACCAGCTGTACCAAATTCTCCTTTATACTTAATCTAGATACAATCATCTCTGTACCAGTCTAAAATAAAATAAAATGGGGCTGCACATTTTAGTTTTCTGCACCGATTGGGCCAATAAAGATGGACATAATGAAGACGAGCATATGCCATACAGTGTACTATGATGGAAATTTTGCCCAGGCAGGAGCACTATGGTCCACTCTTATATCGAATTCTAACTGCCAAGGGATCTTTTACGTGCACACCAATGTAAACACGGGACCTCGATTTTTCTTCTCATCCGAACGACTAGACAGTTGTCCTTGCCAGGTCCTCCGTTCGAAATGTTCCAAAGTCCAGTGAGCGAGAGAGAGTGAGAGCAAACTGGATCATTTCGGGACTAATAATAGGTTCAATTCTATTTCATAATTCTCGATTTTCCTTCTCATCCGAACGACTAGACAGCTGTCCTTGCCAGGCCCTCCGTTCGAAATGTTCCAAAGTCTAGTGAGCGAGGGAGTGAGAGTGCAAACTGGATCATTTCGGGACTAATAATAGGTTCAATTCTATTTCAATAATTCGCTGGCGCGTAGGTGTCTTTAGCAGTGGAAAGAAACCGGAGGACTAAAAATAAAACCCACACCCTCCCCCTTCTAACATTCGGGGAATGGTTCAATTTTATTTCAATAATTTCAGTTAACCATTTGGCCACCAAACCCACTAGTAAGAACTCGCTGACACTTAAACTTAGTAAGAAATTAAATAACAAATAACAATGTCATACGTTTTTTTTATTGTAAGTTATGTTACATAACTAAGGCCATGTCATGATATATATTATTTTGTTTACCTTTCCAGATAGAAACTGTGTTTGTAAGATGTTTTCAAACTCTGTGATATTAAATCCAGTATCAATTGTAACGTTGAACAGGCCACCTGTTTTGGAACAAAAACATTACATATTAATAGAAAGATAGGGTAATTGGGTTTAACGTCCACTCGACACAAACGCGATCATTTCGGGACCAACAATGGTTTTATTATTTTAAGAACTTGCGCCCGGGGAAAACCCCCAGAAGATAGGACAGGCTATTCCTTATCAGTTAAAAGCTGGGAATTGAAATCAGACCACTTGACTCAATGACAGAGCTTATGATCTACATAGCACTCGTTAGACCATTCGCCCCACCCACCGCCATCCACACCCCCGCTTTACATAATAATATCATTACTTGCTATGTTTATATTTAAATAGAGAATCTCCTACCAGTGTTTTTTATATCAAAATACATCAACACAAGTCGATAATGTAAAAATGAACGAGGCTGTGCCGTTTTTTGTTTTACTTTATCGACGAGTATTGATATTGTTTGATATCACAAAATACGAGTAAAAGTTTTTATTTATCACGCAACGCTTTCTTACATACACAAATAAATAAATATAATTATTTTATGTAAAGCGATATCTCTTTAGGAGATATGGCTCAGTAGATTATGAAAGTTATCACACAGGCGATATCTATTGTAGAATGTGTTATTGGGTAATAAATGTGCTTAACGGGGTTATGTAACTCATTTAAGGAATTTCACTGACTTCCACAGATTTAACTCCGACTAATCATGAATCATGTGCCGAAAGCATTAGCACCACTAATGCTGGTTATTGTAGAAGTGGGAAAAAACCATAGTGCCCGAAAACAAGGCAGGTAACTCTACTATTTGTCACCTACAAAGAATAGATAGAATCCAAAGAACTGCTTAAATAGCTGCAGTAGACTGCTAGGTTTAGTTCTTAAGGATACCTCAAGATTTCGTCAAGGTCGCTGAGATGTAAATAAGGTTGTTGACGAGATCATGGGTTAGGGATTGGGTAAGAGTTAGGTCCAAGGTTAGGGTCGGGGTTGGCGCTAGCCCTGTTCACATTTCTGTAGGCGGCCTTAAGAAATAGATCTAACCAACAATAGACTTACCACATATTTGACAACATGAAGCTAATGGTGTAAGAGATGATTGACATCTCGCTCTATTACATCTGTCTTTATATATCTTACATATCTCATCTAATATCTAGAATAACACAAAATAACTTGAAATCTAGCACTTCATGATAACTGAATGTCAAATATATTTTGCAGTCCGTCATGGACTGTTTAAAGAAATTCATAAATTGCTATTCATAAATTGCTTTCGGGTATCCGAAAGAGAAAGCCATTAGTATCATCTAGTATAATATGCAATTATATAATAATATATTTGCGATGTATCAAAGTATATCCTGGTTTTTAAAAGAAATGTGATTTTATTTTATAATGTGATGTATTAAAATGATATTAATATGTATTTTAGTAATCGATACATTTAGTATATTAATTAGGAACACATAATATAACGTAATGATGTTGACAAATCACAAAATATGTTCACGTGCACTTTCAACAATATGAAAACCTGCAAATGAGATTTCACGGTTACAATATCACCATTTAAGAAACCGTCCTGCAATGAATTCTCTCATAATATAACATACCTGAACTCTAACCCTTAACTACTGCACATGGAATACCAGCTATTTGTTGTGGTGGATAGATTCTGGTACTAAATAAGGTCATTGCGATTACCCCATTCTAAATTGTGCCCGCTTCCACATTAGAGAATATTAAGCTATACCAAATAGTAAGCGTCGTGTGACCATTGGCATAGTATACACGTGTCGCGCTATTATGTCCAAATTAGTACAGCAAATTTGAATGTGACAAATGTTTCCAAGAGATTACCTGCCCTTGGTCGTTTCCAGATGCACATCCAGATTTTGGTGTTTTACACTTAGTACGTGATATAGTCACTGATGACAAGACACCAGCTCCTTGATTTGGAGGCGGGAACATCCTGGAACCGTCAGCACTCTGTACAAAACTTTTGAACGAACTGGTTGACAGGGACTGCGATTAACCAAAAATACAAAAACAAATCCACATAATATTTTAAGTTCAAGTAAAAGACAAAACTTTATGAAATGCTGAATGCTGAAAAGTTTCTGCTATTAAATTCAGGAATTATGTTCCATAAATATTCTTGTGTGTTATATATTAGGCCCGCTCTGCTTTAAATTCAAACAGCCAAAAACCGCTTTCATGCACACCCGTGGCCTCGGATTTGCGTCCCGTCCGAATGATTTACCAGCACTTCCAATGCCCCCATTAGTTACGAACTAGTGTTATGATTTAATCATATAAACTTATTACCCCCCCCCCCCCAACCTATCGTTCCAAGGACATACAAGTGAAATGCACATAACTAACGAAAATGAAATGAAATTTAACGCCCTAATTTGCTACACTGACTGGACTAATGTAGACGGACTTACGCCATACAGTGTGCATAAAATAGTGCGTTGCTGCGACCGTACGGTGACAATTTTCCGTCGCCGTAGCAGCGCAGTAAGGACGCCAGTCCGGTCTGACAGAGGTATTAGTAACTGATTTAATCACATAAACTTATGCACCCCTGTCGTTCCCAGAATTAAGAGTTAAATACATCAATTTTAATTACTTACGCTTCCAGATATCTTTAGAGATTTGACTTTAAATGCCATATTCACTCCTAATGTAACAAAGAAAGATTTCTCGGGAGGAAATACAACATCGTCATAAAGACCAGGAACTTTCTCAGAATCCAGTAAGGGTATATCCTGGCAGTCACCACGTTCTGTTTGAGAATAACACCAGTTGTCCGGATCAACCCATTCTTTTGGTCCACGAATATATTCCAGCTCTATGGCAGAAAGTAAGCAAATGAAAACTTCGAATTAATATCATTAGTAATAAAAAGAAAGAATGAATGAAATAGAGTTTTATGGCGCCAAACATATGGTGAATAGTATGAGACAAATTATATTCTATAACATAAAGCACTCATGTACATAAATAAAACAAATATCACAGTAAATTAAATACTTTAAAATAAAAATCACAACTTCATGTAGACAAATATTTAAAAAGGAAAAACAAGATGATGTACGAGTATACATGTACAACTAAATTTCATTAGTAATAAAACTCGTTTATCTAATTAGTTAATTAATGTCTTTATCTAATTAGTTAATTAATGTCTTTATCTAATTAGTTAAACATTAAATGCAAGAGTTAAAGTAGCTAAGTCTGTAACTCAATATCATCCAAAATCTTCGACATTGAAAACACGATTTATTTATCGCTTTAAATCAACATTGATGTTGTGATCTTACAGGGAAAAGATGGCCTTCTGATATCCAATATTTAAAACAAAATAAACATTTTACAATTGGTACACGAACCGTGTACCATAATGCGTTTCAGCGCTATTTGTAATAAGGGACTTGAAAAGCGAGGCTAGACATATTCCACAAGTCATGTCAAACGGTGACGCTATATTCTTATCTGGAGGATATGCCCAGTAAATACTATCGGCGTAGACGGGAAAAACCAGACGCTAGAGATTGAAATTCGATTGAGATTACTGGCGTATTTCGCCGAACCTAACTGATTACAGTAAAAACAGAAACGATTGAATGTAAATCAATTTATATACATTCATATTACATTATTGTATGCGTTGCGACCCATTTGTTTCAATTTCTAGGTCCCAAATATTAGCGACTTAGCTCCTTTAAATATATCTATTATAGGTCTTTCTTTAAGCCTGAAATGTTATCTAAATTATTAATAAAACTTTAATTAACCTATCCAGACCATAATTAACTCTAGATGGCATCGCTAGTCTGCAATCTTTAGTGGATTATGAGCCGATTTACTGCATAACTTTCCTTCGCGATTTAACGATTAAATGGATAATCGAGACTGTGCTGTTTATCGTACTGACTTTAGTAATGATGATCGAGGCTAGGCGGAAATTTCAACCGCTTAGTTCTTGTTTCATAGTGGATCAATTTGAATGAAATTTTCAGCAAATTGCCTTTACATTATCTTGTTTTTATCTCCCTATTCATACCTTTATCTAATTAGTTAATTCATACCTTTGCATTTTTGATCATTTTGTCTTTGATTAAATTTGTTTATTTCTTAGTTTGGGTCATTATCCACTGAAAAAATGGGGGGGGGGGGGCTAGCTGCCAACATTTGCGAATGGGCAAAATTAGAAAATTTATCATTCTATTGTTAAGCAGATAGCCCTTTATGGGGCAGAGATTTGGGGTTCATACGTTATCAAAAACAAAAACATAATTAAGATTGACAGATGGGATAAATTTGAAGAACACAGAAGTACGATCAACATTTGTAAATCCATTCTCAATATGCCTAAGCGTGGTAGTAACATGGGATGTCTAGCTGAATGTGGTATCCATCCACTATCTCTGGACATATATCAGCGTATGCTTCTTTACTTCAAAAGATTCTTATCGGATAATAAAAACAAACTCCTAGACACGTCATTTGTAGCGGATTATGAACGTTCTTGTAAAACTGCTGGTTCAAGAAAATCATTTTGTCATAGCATAGGGATTTTAACCAGATATTTTGAATTTGAACAAAATGACCTAAAAAATAGTGACATAAAATCTGCCACCGAAAAGAAATTTGTCGATCTTTCCTAATAGTTACTGATCAACAAGAAAATTCGCAATCGATCCATAAACTTCGGACGTATGGAAAAATTAAGCCAGATTTTTATGCGATACCGTTCTATCTGCACTCCGTCAAATCGAAGGCCAATAAAATTGCGGTGACTTCGATTAGGTTTAGCACACACTATCTCGAGATAGAGCGTTGTCGTTATAAAAATATTCCGCCACATGCACGTTTATGTAATCAATGTAATAATAATGAAATAGAAGACGAATATCATTTCATATTTGACTGTAATAAATATAACAATCTTAGAAATTCAAAATTTACGCCAATTTTCAAAAGCAATCCGCACATCTCGTGCAATATGATTAATGTTTAAAATCCCCAAACGAAATTGCCAGTCAGGTTGCTTCATATATAATATATATAAGTGTCTCCAAGAAAGAACATCAGATGTTAACCAACACCCCAGTTCAATATAATAATGTTTATTATACTAATACTTACGGTAGAAATAGTTTGTTTATTTTTCAGGCTAGTTGACATAATTTTCGTTTTAGCTCTATACTGATTCTCATTATACCGACCATCTTTTAATGCTTATAGAGTTGTTATATCACATTGTACATCCATAAATGATCACCCCAGATGTTATGTTATAATTGTATGATCAACTTTTGTTTAAACTGTGTATGCTGTCCTTGGTGGATGCAATGATACAATAAAATCTTATCTTATCTTATCTTGGCTTAATTGGAAGAATTTTTTTTTCGGGGAGGGGTGGGCGTATTTTGTAGGGGTCAAAATTGAAAATCAAACAACATCAGTATGCTGCACTGTCAGAGTGTGTTATTTTAATTTAAACAAAATAGCAACGGTGGCGATGGGTTGCTTTTCACATTTCAATTACCTTCCCACAAATACGTCAATGTATATATGATTAACTTGGCATTTTAGGATGTTTACTTCGCGATTTAGTGTTTCTGTCCGTTCAGGGATGTGCCGGTATTTTTCTATAATTTTCTTTGAGGAACTGGGGTAGTCAATATGTACATGTAACAAGTGATAAAGTATAAATATTATTGTTGAACATACGGTTTCTCGTGTTCGTGAAAAGGTAAGCACACCCTCTTTAGTGTACGATTCCCGTTATCAGCTACATGACACGATTATTTAGACTTGAATTACAGAGATTAAATCCACTTTGTAGACGTGACGTGTATGGGTGATTACAATGTCAAATACTGTATGTATTTACCTCCATCAGCATCGGGACAATTCGCATCATCTGTTGCCGTATCTGTGAAACTTAGAATCGAATTATCGCCAAATATCAGCTCGCCATTCATTGGAAGCCACTGAAAATATATAATTAGATTCTCGTTGGAACGTCAATTAAAGCATCTCTATAAATGAAATATTACTGGTATGTAAACAGTAACCGGGTTATATTTCGCAAACCTTATGGTGAGAACACCCCTAAAAGTTTTGTACCCTAAGTAACTTAGATACCACATATCAAAGGCATTGTAAAAGAATGAAAGTCACATTAATGTTTGGATCCCTGGAAGCAACCACGTCAGATAACAATGTCCTTTAACGTTTTGTATCCATGGTAGCAGGGAGGTATTATATACCTAGTCTGATTGAAACAGGTCCTATTTCGTTTCGTTTATCATAGTTCAAAATTTGCTTTTACATCAAAAGTATAAAAAAATAATCATGTTGTTATTTAGCAATAACAAACTTTTGAGTTCATTTTCGCAAAGGTATATTCTCCGTTTTCACAGTCTGCACAGAGACAGCGTCTCAAAAACAGCAATCTGATTTAAATACAGAACTATATTTCGTTTCGTTTTTTTTATACTTTCGATGGCCTACACTACATGAAGATCTGACCGGTTGTAGCGATAGGTCGCGTCAGAGGTCATACGAGCGGCTTTTGACCCTATGACGTCAGACATTTGATTAACCAATCAGCATTGATGTTACTAGTGGATTACCCACAGTTCCGTGCAAAACACGCCTAAAGCTCACCGCAACAGACCGTTTCATTGGCTAATCCCTCACACCATTCAGAACATGTCAATGATAACAACTCTTCCAGATCCTAGCGGTAGTAAAGACAAGTAAAACGAAATTTTGAACTATAAAAACGAAACGAAATAGGATCTGTGTTATAATCAGATTGCAAAAACAGGTTTTAAGTTCACGATAAAAACGTCCGCGACGCTTACCAGTTCCTTTATTGTTGTATTGGTTTGAATGTAAACAGTAGGACTTAGTGCATCGCCAGTTGCAAACTTAACAATGTCGCTACCACATGGTACACGTCCAACATTCCAGTTGTTTGGATTCTCAAAGTTAGTGTTTGGTTTCCATCGTTTGTATATACTTTGAACTGAACCTGTAATTTAATCAAAATTAAAATTTCTTAACTACAGTGGACTGTGTGTCGCCCGTCTCCCCTAACCCATTACGAAAACCCCAAAAATATGTAACACACCTTGCACCCTTTTACTGTTCCGACAGGCAGCCAGGAGGCTAAGTGAGTAAGACGCTGGCTCGCAAACCTGGAGATCGCAGGTTCGATCCCGGTGTTGGTCGAGAGAATTCATCGGGATTTTCCAGCGTGGTGCCCCTTCTTGTTCCGATGGGACGAAAAACCGAGGTCCCGTGTACACATTGGTGTGCAAGTAAAAGATCCTTTGGCAGTTGGAATTAGGGCAAAATGTCCCCCATAGCACACTGTATGGCGTATATCCTTCTTCATTTGCCCACTCGGAGTAGAACAGTAGGACGTTAAACCCTATTTCATTTTATATCATTTCTCTCCCGACAGCCAAACTACTTTTTCCAATGCACAAAACCAATTTGTCGCCTGGATTAGCTGCCCCACCTACCCTTGCTCCGCGAATGATTAATGGGTAAATAGAACTGGCGAACCAGGACAGTGCATGCATGAATCCGTATATACATTGGCGTCAACATACTTGCTGGCTGTTTGGGTATGCGGTTAAACCTCACTCTCGGCAAACTAGAGAATAAAGAAAATCCCATATGCCCTTAAACTGAACACTCCCCTCTCCCAACACACCCACTATTCCAAAATATCACTCACCTGTGTGTTGTAGGACAATAAGAAGTAAACAATATATATACTTCGAAAACATAATTCATTGGTCAGTTCCCGTCTCTTAACTAATTTAATATCAACTTGTAATAAACGCACAACTTAAAAAGGAGGCGTATACACATACTTTCTAATTAATCTCCAACTACATGTTCAGACCGATGACGATGTCGTTTAAGTAATGACTGTCCCGAAATATAGTTCTTATTAAGATAACAGGGTAGGTCAGATATCAAATTATGACCATATTGAATTACGTGTTTGCATTCCAAACACGTTCTATGATATGTGTGCAATTGACATTATATCTATAAGATGTATTTAGTCTTCTCTTGTTACATGTTGTTAATTAAATATCGACTTATCTAAGTGGTACTGAAAGTAACGTTGGTTAATGTACTTTCCGGGAGGAGGTGAAAATAACAAACGATGGTGTGTAGCTTGTTACTAGCTTTTATTTAAGAAATAAATTCTCAAATTCTCTCTCTCTCTCTCTCTCTCTCTCTCTTTCACTGAAACATGAACAACATATGACTATTTTTACATTATGTGCACATCAAATTAACAAACGTTAACATATTTATAATAATAGCATTATTCTATTATAGCAGATAATATATATATATAAAATAAGACTCTCCCAGGAAAGTTGAAAATAGAGTGATAACTATCAATCGTTAAAAACAGATCGATACAAAACTGGAGAACGTCAAGTTAAAAACTTGACTATATAAAACGTAAACAGAGGGTCCAAGCTAAAAACTTGGTCTCAATAGCTTAAAGATACATTATGGGAGATAAAATAAAGAGATGGCAGTTCTCGCTATAATAGTTAAAAACTAGATAGTGTAAAGGTAATTTGCTGAAAATTTCAGTCAAATTGATCCACTATGAGCCGAGAAAGAAGCGGGTGAAATTTTTGCATAGTCTCGGTCATCATTACTAAAATCATAAATATAAACAGCATAGTCTCGATTATCCACTTTTTTAAATTTAATTTTCAATGGCCGTTAGCGGCATATAGGAATCTAATCCAGCCAACATCGAAGGCTAGCCTTGACATCGGGAGTTTATTATGGTCTGGATAAGTTATTTAATGTCTAATTGATAATTTAGATAACATTTCAGGCCTAAAGAAAGACTTGTAATAAGCAGATTTTACTCTTGCATAATGCATGTTTAAGTGTTAACGCCCATGTGTGTGCGTGTGTGTAAAAAAACACTCACGTTCCAGTAGTAACGCGTCTCACGCGATATACACATTCGTTGTTAAGTAGACTCTATCAAACAGACACTTAAATATAGAGATACATGAAAACGAATAAACCTATAAACATAATAATAAATTTATATTAAACACTGCGTATTAGCATAAAACAATATATACAACGAACGGGAAAACAGTTAATACAAGTTTACTTTTGAATAAATATATTGAAAACGGGATTGATTCTCTATAAACTACGCGCTGTGTAGACAATACAATAGCAATACAATACTATTTTAAACATGTAAGGAAATGAAATGAAATGAAATGGAGTTTAACGTCCTAATGTTCTGCTCCTAACCTGGGTTAATGAAGACGGGCATACGCCATACAATGTGCTATGAGGGAAATTTTGCCCGGACAGCGGCACTACGGCCTACTCTTATATCGAATTTCAACTGCCAAGGGATCTTTTACGTACACGCCAATGTGTACAAGGGACCTCGGTTTTTCGTCCCATCCGAACGACTAGACAGCTTTCCTTGTCAGCCCCTCTGTCCTGCATCACTGACAAGGGAGAACCACGCCGGAAAATCTGGATGAACTTTCTCGGCCAATGCAGGGATCGAACACCCGACCTCCAGGCTAGCGAGCTAGCGTCTTACCCACTTAGCCACGTGATCCCCAAACATGTAAGGCTTGTGGCATCTTCTTCCTCCGTTTCCACCGAGGGTGATATGGCAGACAAGTTGTCTTATTTTCTTTATCTTAAAGCCTACACAGGGGTTTTTCCTGTGGAAGGAAATCGGATTAGCCGAAGTCTAGCCGAGTTGAGAAGGCACCCCTATCTCCAAGCTACATACGCTTCACACACCAGGAATCGAAACCACGACCACAAGCCAAAGGTGACCGACCAGCTAAAGGTCGAAGCGCGATAATAGACCACTAGCCCCCCCACCCATGTATGTGGCTCAGCCGTATAATGATAAATACGTGTCCTGAAGTTATGTTGTTTTTCTTATAAAATAAACTAGAAATGAGAAGTGAAATGACAATGAAATGGGGTTTTATCGTATAACGTTTGTGATCCATCCGAGCTTCGCTAACCTGGAGGTCCGTTATGATTTGAAATAGTTTACTACACTTAATCACATAGTATGATAATACTTTTTATTGATTAATGTATGTTCTGTTATGCATATATGATAATGTAAAAAAGCTTATAATTACACTTGGTCAAATATCATAATATGCTAATATTATATATTCAATATTTCATTAAAGATACAGAATGGGAGATTCGATAACGAGTTGGCAGTTCTCATTATAATAGTAAAAACCTAGATAATGTAAAGGCAATTTGCTAACAATTTCATTCAAATTGATCCACTATGAACCGAGAACTAAGCGATTGAAATTTCCGCCTAGCCTCGACCATCATTACTAAAGTCAGTACGATAAACAGCATAGTCTCGGTTATCCATTTTATCGTTCAATCGTGAAGGAAAGTTATGCAGAAAATCGGCTCATAAGCCACTAAAGACCGCAGGCTAGCGATACCATCTAGAGTTGATTATTGTCTGGATAGGTAAATTAATGTCTAATAGGTTAGATAACATTTCAGGCCCAAAGAAAGACCTGCAATAGACAGATTTAGCTCTTGCATAATCTATATTCATTTCATTTTGTAAATTAAAGACACTTATATGGGTAATTTGTGAAATCTACTTCTATGTCTTATAAGGATTAGATAATTTGTAATTGATGTTTTAATTGTGATTTCAATGTCTTTATTTGTGTTTTCATGTTTCTTCGTTAATAAACCCAGTTCGACGTCAGATATAATAGTACTTATGTTTTTTATAGATTAAAGCTCCTTGAATGATAAATTTAAATATCGTGAGAGAGCGGTGCTTCCACGTATTAGAAGTCCTAATATACGTTTGTTTAGAGGTTATTGCCGTGGTAATTAAAAATCGGCGTTTAATTGTCAAGACATGCAGGGGCGTACATGTGGGGGGTGGTTCTTCCCCAGGAAAAACAATAGTCGGTCGGAAAATTATGCATCAGCGACTACATGAATTAATGAGATAAACAAAAATTGCCAAAATAGAAAGGAATATCACTAATACTTAATATATTCATGAATATACCTGTGTAAACATATGATTGCTTTGATTCGATATCACAATATGAGTCAGTTGTTCAAAGCCCAATTAGTAAAAACTATTATGCCTTCAGGAACGCCTCAGTGACGGACACGATCGATCTTGACAAAATCGCCGATCGGTGGCCAAACTTGACTTGGCACGGACACCTGATGAAAATATGAGGACATAGTTATAATATCTTTGCTAATTTATGTATATTCACAACAATATAGGTCCATGTAAATGATATAATTATTACCACTTTCAGAAGTTGTCACCGATTTAAAGTACTTTGAACGTTCTTGAATTCCCGTACGTAGTGCTCAATTTTACTCACGTTATAAGTGTTTTCTGGCCATCAGAATTCTGTAAAATCTTCCAGGAAGTGGCATTTCTGGGACTCTACAAAACTTTCTCAGGGGAAGCGCGCCCCCGGACCCCACTAGAAAGCTCGCACCTACCGGGCGCGGCTCGTGGTTGTCACTTGTCTAAAGGGGACTATCCATATGTACGCGCCTGAATGCATTACACGTATAACGATATAAACAACTTTGCCACACATATTGTGCGGTTTAATACGCCCCCCACCCTTGAAAATCTGTTTATATAATCGAATCGGAGCGAACGGTTACTGGCAAGCATTATCTATGGAAATAACACTCATAGATGGGATATGTTTGTCAACAGCCACGATACAAGAAAGGCTTCCGAAACGGACAAGTAAGCTAAAACCGCTGTGCTAAGTGGACTTAGACAAGTAATTATTTCCCTTTATTTCACGACGAATGTAGTGCGAGTTATTAATAGACAATTTTTCCCTTCATTCTTTCTATCCTTTACCTGCATTTTTGTGTTGATTTTTTTATCTAGATTTGGAGAAAAGGAATTAAATTTGCAATTCCATAGCAGTTTTGGGTAACATCCCAGCGGAGGGGATGTATAGTGTCTTTCTGCAGAGCGCTCATTGTGTCGGAAGTTAGATTTGGACCCCAGTCAACATCAAAATTTCGTAGCAAAAAATCTAAACGGTCAACCTCCTACAAAATTATGATGAGGAGATTGCCAAATGCGGTCCCCATTTTGCCTATATACAGATTGGAACCAACGGAATGTTGAGCAATAAGCTACAGCCATTTACATTGAAGTCAATGGGCAAATAATTGCTATTCTGAGTTCAATGGTAACGATATTATAAAATGGATTACCCTCCCGTAACTGTATTGCTATTTTGTATAATGTAAACTACCCTTATGTACTTAATTATGACGCGTGTCAGAGAGTTAGAAATGACCGTAACATAAACGTATCTCAACTTGTTACTAGTCTTGTCTTTGCCTACATAAGGGGTTAGGTTGGTCGGTTGGTTAGCGCGTGCGCGTTGTATCATAAGGTCTATCATTTCTTCAACTGGCGTGGTTTCGATTCGCAGGTGGGTTGTACATGACAAGGATTGGGATCGCCTGTACAACCTCGTGGGGTTTCTCCGCGTCCTCCCACTGCTAAAGACCCCTACGCATAAGCGAATTATGGAAATAAAAATTAACATTATGTTAGTCCCGAAATGACCTAGTTTGTTTCGAGTGGACCCCCCCCCCTCCTCTCTCTCTCTCTTCCTTCATAATATGTCTGACCTGTACCAGAAGTAACGGATTTTAATTTAATAATTATAATTTAATAATAAAATGGATAATCGTTATTATCGTAAAAACGGTATCATTGACAATCGAGAGTACACTGTTTTTCAAACGGCTTTAACTCCGCTCAGAATGAAATAATTTGACTGAAATATTCAACATATTCCTTTTTCAGTATCTTTTTTTT